CTTTTTGATCGGAAATATATTTTGGTTTTCCTATAGCAAATCATCGAGGCTGACATTCTTTCTATAACATTAAAGGGCACCCATTCCTTTCTACATCTCCTCCTGTGTCACGGAATAAAATTTAATGATACTTTCAAAAAAATATTACGCTATGCCATTGTGCACCTTCTATTTTACTTTTTGATCTGACACTTTTCGGGTCCCCCAGAGCAAAACACGGACTTTGCCATTATAATCATATGGGAAGCAGAGTATCATTATATAGTGAGCTCAGTGCTCACAGTACCTCTAGTTTTTTAACGTTAAGATTTCCTTTGATCTCAATTCAAATGTAGTTTCAAAGAATCTATTTCATAAATTTATAGCAAACTTATACACTTGTAGAATTGTCAATTTTCTTTACATTTGAACCCTGAGTGGGGTAAAGATGTTCAATGGACCTATTTCTAGTTTATTATATCACCGCATGTAAAGTATATAGTGATCGGGATGTCCGTCCGTCTGCATGTGTGTTACGCTTTTGGTGTATCGATCTCTTATCCGTCAATCCTCTTACACTATTGATTGAAATTTAAAGAAACTTTCAAAGAATCTTTGTTACATATTGTCATTGTTCACCTCCTATTTTAATTTTTGATCAGACACATATTTCGGGGTCCCATGGCAAAACATAGACACTGCCATTCTTTCTATTATATTGAGGGCTTGGGTACCCATCTCCTATCCACAACTCTTCCTGCATTACTAAATAAACACTGATGATACTTTCAGAGATTCTTTATTACATAATGCCACTGTGCATCTCCTATTTTACCTTTTCATATGACATTTATTTTGGGTCCCCCAGAGCAAAACATGGACTTCGCCATTATAACCATATGGGAGGCGGGGTATCATTTAGTGAGCTACCTATTCTTTTTTAAAAAATGTCAACTGAATACAAAATGTGGTCTGCTGTAGGTTCATTCAACAAAAAACTTGTATTGAAGCAATACTGTGTTCTAAAATGTTAAAAATTTTTGATATTCGTTTGGATACCACGATCTATCCTTGGAATTCAGTTCAAAAGATGACATTTCGATATAGCCAACCTCTCTATAGATGTAAATACAATTTTTATCAATAAGACGACGATACTTGGTTGGAATTTTCTTCATCCATTTGAAGGCATTGGCCGTTGAATTTCCTCTCTTTGTACAATAATCACAAGGCAAAACTGGTCCAGATGTTAAAGACTTGACATATTTCTCAACATTTTCATTGAAAATTGCAAACAAGAAGTCATATAAACGTTTGGTTACATCTCTCGGGTTGGTAGCGAGATTCTCGTATACAAGTCTGTGGATTCGACGAGGATAATTTACCGACAACTGTTTCTCATGTTGAATGTTTTCACTCATTCTTCTACAAAAACTCTTTGAAAAATTATCGAAATTTTCCACACTTGCTAAGCTTGTGACCAGTTGTGAGTGCAAAATCGCCCTTGGATCTCGAACTAAGTGAATCACTTTCAAAGATGGTAGCCGCTTAAGCAAGGTTTCCACTGCGGACATTGGAAACCGGATTGTTTTCAAAGTCCTTGTTCTCGCTTTGATGCATTTCTCTTGTAAACTTGGTAAACATTTGGTCACGCGTTCGCGAAGTGGGGTTACAATTCCTGGCAGATAGTTTTGTGTACAGTTATAATATAGATCGTGTTCTGGTGTAAAAATATGAATAAATTCATTGGACAAACTGAGTAAATCTACTTGACAGAGATTGCATGTAAACCAGTTGTATAACAAGTCAGCCATCATATCAGTAACAGTCGAATCGTTCAGAGTCAGCCTATAAAAAAGAAATAAATACATGTAAATGTTTTAATCATTATTATAAACATTAAGTGGTGATCGATATTTCTAAAATAAAAAATTTATGGTGTCAATAGCGAATTCTCGGGTGTTTTCTTCCATGAACTTATAAAGAGTCGACATTATATTGACTAAGTTATTGCCATGACATCAGAGCAAATATCAAAATTATGCATTGCAGCTTACCGTCTTGATGTTCCGTTCAGAAATCTGACCGGTCTATTTTGTTTGATTGCCATTTCGATCAATCCATGTAAGGGTTCAAAAATATAAAATTCCCCTTGGTTATAGCGAATAATGTCTGCGGTTAAAGACGATCCTCCCCTCATATAACCAAGCACCAGCGTCATAGACACGCCTAATAATGAATAAAAAGAATGATATATTTCTTAACTCTTTAAATGAAAGTTGGTAGACTGTTTATTAATACAAAAACTGTAAGAGGGAAAATCATCATGCAAAATGGATCGAAACCGCTTTGTTTCTGTAAAATAACAAAAATAATTGTAAATCGTCTAGGAAATTGCATCTTCATAACAATTAATAGAAATTATTTTTATAATTTTAATGGAAATTTATTCATACAAACTTTCATTAACATTGTCTTTTCTTCCCACTGCAGATTCCCTGTCTTTTTCACAAGTGTATTGAAGCTGAGTTTTCACTGTGTAAGACATGACATAAAAGACAAAAATTATCACGTGAACAAAATACACAGGGAAGAATTTTACCCTCCCGTTTACTGGAATTTCACAAAATCTTTAGATTTTTATCGCAAAAATAATTAAATCAGATCAATTAAAAGGACAAATAAAAAAAATAATTACCTGAAATATTCGTTATTCTTGGTGTATACCGTACAATATTTGTCACAGTCATAAAGACCATGAAAGATATCATCAGTATGATGGTTCTTGCCTTTTTTACCATTTTTTTTTTCAAAATAATTTTACAACAAATTTTAACGTGAAATAAAACTCTTATAAATACTAGTATTTGAACAAATGAGTGGAATTTGTACATGTACAACCAATCAAATTTAAACATCTCGAAATCATGCCTGTTAACAGATCGTGATTTCTTAACGTATGACGATTTTAACTCGCAAGAAATTTTAGAATGTTTACTGCGTGATGAGACAAATAAAATGAACGGTCTGATAGTAACGACGCTAAAATAGAATATGTACCTCGTAAATTTGGCTGTTGACAATGATAAATTTTAAAAATCATCAATTTTATGCTAGCCTTTTTTTTTTTAAAATAAAATTGTTCACTCTGATCCCAAAGTTTTTGCATGAATAACTTTAAAAGAAAAGATTTAGATTTATATACTTATTTAATATATATTTTAAAAAATTTAATGATCAAGCATATTTTATGCCCTGCTTATGGCCGGTTTATGTAGTGTTTTTCTTGTCCGTCTCCATTCGTCGGTCTTTCTGTCTATCCGTAACACTTTGCCAAACTCTGTGCAGTGTCAATTCTCCATGACTTCTTTCCCCACGAACAATGATAGCATAACTAATACTGAGTACAGAGCCGAGTGTCTGGGGCTAAACACTTTGTTGGTACCTCAGTTTCGAGAGTCAGACCGTTCAAGATTTTTTATCAAAGTTAATGTCCTGATAAATACTGATAAGGACTATTCAACTTCATCAGCATTTTTTGTAGTTTGTTTTGAAAATCATATAATTTACTTGATAAAATATATGGAGATAATGAATAGTATTTAAGCTTGAATATATTTTAAAACTTAAGTCTATGACATCGTTAAATTTAGTTACAACATAACATTTTCGTTAAATGTTTGGTTGTTTAAAAAAATAACTAAATCATTGCTCTGTACATAGATCTATTGGAATTTTGAGAAGCAGAAAATGAGATATTTTCATGCACCGCCGAACTGCCAAAAATATAGTCCCTGCTAGATTTATCAACTATGCCCATATTTAGATCTTTGACTTTACTGTATATCGTGTATTAAATTTAGTTTAAAGAAAATGTTTAAGATATTTTCATTTTTTTTGTTGTTGTGTTGCATTACTAATTATAATAACCGTGTTAAAAAGGGTAATTCATGTCCTATGGACATATATTTCAATTCTTCCTTAATATTTTCACCAAACAATCAGAAATCTAATATTAATTTCAAGAAAAGAGATCCAATGTCTTTAAATTGAAAGTAATTTTCAAAATCTGAAATAAGTGCATTTTAACATTTTTTTCATCTATTGAGAGAGAGAGAGAGAGAGAGAGAGAGAGAGAGAGAGAGAGAGAGAGAGAGAGAGTTTAAAATAAGACAACAATGCAAATTAGGTAATGCAATATTCATTAGAATTCCAAACGATATCATTTTGCATTTAAATACCCTGGAAGCAAACAAAAAAGAAGTACACCCTAACGTAAATATTTGAACATATGAAGTAAAATGCATCACCCGATTTCCCGTGACATTGATTTCAAGATTTCGTGATTCTTCGTGAATGGAAAGTTCCTTTGACGTTAAAAATAATCTCTTTTTCACACGATATGTATTGCAATACACGTATTGTTTCACAGAAAAGACACTTTAGTGCTGAAATCTAATTGAACTTTAAACAATCTTGGCCAGAAGTTTTACACTAAACTTAGTATAGAAATGTATTCAATATTTGTACAGATCCCAAAATACCATAGATTGCAGCTCAATTAAAATTCATTTTTGAATACTTAGTTTAGGATAGATGTATTTCACACGAATAGTAAAAATTCCTTCAGAAAAATAATTTAATGGAAGTCGATGGTATTTATAATTATACTTTATGCTGAAGGGGAAGTTGGAGAGGTATCAGTACTGGCTGTTGCTGTTTCTTGCACTGTGAAGATAGAAAAAAAACATAACAACTCATCAAAATTGGCAAAAATGGTCAAACGTTTTATCAATTAGTAGAATTATAGCCGCAGATCTGTAGCTCGCTGGTCTGAAAAAATTACGATGGATGTCCAGATTATGGTCTAGAGCTACAATTTTGCAGCTATTACATGTACAATTATTGCTGCACTTTAATCCAAAAGAATTGTCATCAAACTTAAAGAGAGAGAGAGAGAGAAATTCAAGAAATTCATTTTAGCAGAATTCCTATGAGATATCAATCGAAAAACTTGGTGTATTGTTATCAGAATTTGGAGCCTTGTCAGATTGGTTATTTCCGTCCACAATTGTAACTTTTCATTGAAACTCCCGTTTTTTCTAAGTATGTTTATTCCTGGAGATTTTGCAATTTTAATTCAGCTAGTCGAGTTAATATACATTATATTATAATATACATTATATAATATACATTATGATACTCACAGTACTCGCAGACATAAGGATAATGTTGATGAACCAGTCCCAGTGGGTCCTGCTTTACACAGGGTATATCGTCCCAGTGACCCGTGACGTCAGAGTTCAGTATGATGGTGCAGTCTTCCTCGGCGTCCAACAGGAAGCGCGTGTGACGTCACAGCTAGTCGGATCCCGCCTTGATGTTAAAAGTCCAGTGGGTAAAGGTGTTTTGATGGTACTGCGTCTCCCCAACGTCACACTCAGAATTCATCTTAATTATTAGCATAGGTATGATTTTCGAGACTTTACGTTAGGTCTGACAATGATAACGGCATTCTTATGAATGTACCTCCTACAAAATCCTCCCAACCATTATTCCTTTGTCTGTGGTTCAGTTATATATATATATATATATATATATATATATATATATATATATATATATATATATATATATATATTTTTTTATATATACATTATTGACAGTAATGATCCTATTTGATTCCCTTTGATAATATGGTTTATTGTACTATAAATTATGATACTTAAGAAATACACCTGCTGACATGTTAACATGAAAAAAATCGAAGATACCCCCCCCCCCCAAAAAAAATCTGTGGACAAGGCATAGATAACGGAACCCAAGAAAATCACAGAGGTGAGATCATGTGCCTAGAGGGAATAAGCACCCCCTGTCGACTGGTCAAACCCGCCCTGACCCGTATGTAATGATAAGATAGGCGAAATATTCTATGGTCATATACAGTATAAAACAAAGGTCTAACATGTCAGCCAAAAATACGACCAAATGATAAATAATATTTGCTAACAAGGTCATCGTGGCGATCAAAGAATTTGCAAAACGCCGACTTTGCAACAAAATCCACGTAACATCAACTTACTGTCATTAGCCTCCTTCGGTTTATAAACTGATCGTATTCATGCGCTTGAGTATCAGTATCGAAAAATATAGAACATTATTTCAGCTATATAACAGCGAATATTTTTTCTTCAAGTAAAAAGTGTGACAGGAGGTCAATTGTCAGAAACCATAACTACTAAGCCCCTTCTTGCATATACCGGGTATACAAGACAAAGTCAATACGTTAAAAGATTGTTTTTGATATATTTCTGAGGGACTAATTTGACAGACGAACATACGGACGTACTTATGTGAAAACAGTGAAGTTTATGATAACTGCACCACATACAAAGGAATATGCTGTAAACGACTCGTTTCTTCATTCTTCATTTGTTATAAAGGTCATGAACAACTTACATTATAGTTAAAAATAAACACATATCATGACTTATGAAATGGTTACTATCTCATTTCATTATTTTGTTTCATTGTCTTTTGATTTGTTTAAAAAACACAATTTAGTAAAAATTTTCTTTCAAAAATGTTACCATTCCATACCTGAGGTCCACGTCCACTTTCCCTCTACTTGACCATCAGTAAGCCCTATCCACACACCATGGCCATGGAAAGAAAAGGACTTTAATGTGGACAAAATGAAGTTCTGTTCGTCCATATTGTTAACGGCAACCACATGACCCCCTCTTGATTTGCAGTCACCCTCTGCTTGGTGAAAGTCGACGGCCCGGTGGATCCTGAATTCGTAACAATGGCCTTGGTAGGCCTTCAGAGTGGTGCCTTGGTGGAGATTTGCTGGGCAGTTTGAAATGTCACCGCCATCTTACAATAAAAAAACCCAGATGAGTAACGTTCTTTTTTCCTTCCTTTTATATATTCGATTGTATTTTAGCACAATCACAGATTTCATAAATTACAACATGTTTAGATTACCCCCCGGTTATGCCTATCAAAGAAACGTACAAACAAAAATCACCACTAGGAACAACAGCAGAAATGTCAGACCCATCGTAGAAAATGTACAGTTAACTACTCTGTTCAAAAATCTTACACATTACAAGTGCATATATATAATTTCTTATCTACAGGTTATGGTAACTAGGATCAAGGTCATATACATCACTTTCCTAACATGTGGCATCAAAATTGAATTTCACCAGATGGAAAAAAATATTTGAATGGCAGATGTGGAACTTTTAGGCTGCGGATTGTGGTATTGCTTTGTCGTCTACCTTGAGGTCATTTTTAAAAGTTGTCATATTTCAACAATTTTCTTGATTTTATGAAGAATATTATATCAAATTCGAATTATTGGTCAAAAAAAGGATTGCTACATTTTGAGCAACACTTGCTCATTTTTACAATAAATCAATGGAAAAGAAAATTTTTATTAAGTATCTCCTGTAAAACAAAACATTTTTTTTAGACATGTGTTACAAATTTAATGAATTCATGCTACATCTTAAGGTTGATGTTACACTGGGGAACAGGAATAATGTGACTGCATGAAATGTAGACGGGGATCAAGAGTTAGCGTGTGTAGTTCTTTACCATACATGTAATTTAACGTATTGCAATTTTAGCCGCATGCGTTTCCAACATAGTCTCTGAAAGATTAAGTAACAACATTCTTTTCTTTTTTTAATCGCAAGACATTATTGATTTTGTAATCAGACATCTTATCAATATCACCGCGATGGAACGCTGGGACTTGCTGGTAGAGCAGACGAAGTGGTACTGATTGTAGATGGCGCTATAGTTGGATCTAAAGACGGAGCTGGAGTTGTTGCAGGATCTTCAAAATAAAGAAAACCTCACAATTTTTCGATTTTAAAGAGAATGCCATCTTCGGAAACCCACAGCTGTTTACGCTTTGTTCCTGTCTCCATCACGTGAGGAACGAAACATAATTATCCGTGGGTTTCCGACAATGAGAGGATGGTTTCGGTTAAGAAATTCATTAAAAGTGGTATTTTAGAAATTGAAAATGCACTTACTGTACTCGCAGATGTAGTTATAATGTTCCCTTACGAGTCCTAAGGGGTCTAACTTCTGACAGGGGTAATCGTGCCAGTGACCTGATTCCGAGTATTTCATGAGAACACAATCCTCGTCTGCTATACCGTCTAACAAAAATCGTTTACCTGAATGAGACAGGTGGGGTTGTCCTGGGGCCCAGAACGTAAACGAGCTGTTCTCTCCTGTAACATGGAATTCAAAAGAAGTTAAACTTCGAAGATTCATCAAAATCTATCTTTTAGAATAAAATGGAAAAATGTCTTGCGAATTGGCGACAATACGCCAGAAGATGGAATGCAATTAAGAGAAAGAAGAATTATTAGCCATAAAGTTCCCTCTATTACTATAACTTAAGTTCTCATATCACCTGTAACCCAGGTAAACGTTCCCTCGTGGTTGGCATCAGACAGCCCAATCCATACACTGTTTCCGTGAAATGAGAGCGCCTTGAGTGAGGACATGAGGAAGCTCTGCTCCTCCGCGTCGTTGATGGCCACCAGTGTCCCTCCCCTGGATCCGCAGTCTTTCTCGGCTGATTTCCAGTCCACTTTGTGACGAAGCTGAAACTCGTAGCAGTGTGTCCTGTAGACTTTCAAGGTGGCGCCATTTTGAGGTTGTGTAGGACAGTTTTGAGTAACATCGCCATCTGTATTTACCGTGTTTTAATAGATAAAAAGAAGTGTACTGAAAAGGTTTAAAACCGCTAGGAAAAATTACTGGGTTAATGATTATTTAATAAATAATAATAAAACAACAATTACTTACAAACGACGATCACCAAAGAAAGTGCGTACAGGTACAGCATCGTGCAGAAGTGTTAAAGATTCATTTCTTATCTTAAAGGTAACGTACATGCATATTACGTAATTTGAGTACATTAAATTATGAAAAGTTCCATGCATGTGTACAAAGTTAAGTATTTCTTATCACTGAAATATTTAGCATTTCTTGTCAATGAAATATCTAACAAAAAGAAGGAATTGGGAAAATGGGATGATTTCACTTTCCCCATCAAGTTCCCTATTTACTATCATTTAGTAATATTGCACAATCACGAGTATATGACATTTTTGTCTCAACAGATTCCAAACACAGGGGCCTCTACGATCAAATTTAAACTACATGAAAGAATACAAGTTGGTTTTCCAGGGTTCTCCTTACTTCGTCGAAAGATAACAAAAAGCAACAAAAATATTGTCCTTATAATGTCCTTTACTTGGCAATTACAATTCTATCTTTAGGTGGAACATTCACTAGTTTGAATGATATACTAGTATTCGGCATTTTGTCTATTACTATCACTTGTCGCCCGTGTGGCGTCTGCTCTTTGGTCGCGGAGAAGGAGTTGATCCTTATGTAGCGGGTTCGAATCCCACTGTGAGACCACTGTGGGACGTGGAGATCTGTCCTTCAGAGGAGACGTACCATATAACCCGAGGTCTCGTGTTACGAAGTTGCTTGACAGCTCAATGACTGTAAGTGCCGAGTATAGGACAAAATTTGCAGCTCTCCACTGGCATTTGGTAGCCTCTGGGTATCAGTGAAAAATTCTCGAGAGGGACGTTAAACAACACACAAAGAAACATCAACTATTCTCCCTCCCCTCCCCACTCTCTTTCTCCACTCTCTTTCTCTTTCCCCACTCTGTATCTCCCCCCTCTCTCTCCCACTCTCTCTCCACTCTCCCTCCACTCCCCAAATACACACTCTCTATCTGGCTCTCTCTCTCTCCATATTCTCCCTGTCACTTTTTCTCTCTTCCATCTCTCTCCACTTTCACTTTCCACTTTCTATCTCTCTACACTCTCTCTCTCTCTCCTATCTCCCCACACTCCCCCTCTCTTTATTAATTTTTTACCGGCTAACTCAATCAATTACTTGCAATGTGAAATAAACTATATATATTCATATTACTTAAATGATTCATAGTTATTTACAATAAAAATAATAAATGAATACTTAATCCACAATAAAGAGAAAATTCTTAACGTTATCTTACGAAAATATATAAAATGTTTATTCTTGATCTTTTTACTTTAAGTTTGAATTAGCAGAATTGTTTACTTATGCAAAGAAATGAATGTAATTTAAAATCATAAGGGCGATAACTTCAAAGTAGAAAATACTGTTTCCCGTTCACAATTTGATCGTGTCATTAACCAAAATGCTCTTGCATCATGACACCCTCATTACCCAGTTTGTCAAATTTGCACATTGCATCTACATGTGTATGTTCGTTTGGTTTTTCATTCAAATGCGTACTGTTCATAAAACTACATTTAACTTTTACTTGTTGCATGGTTCTACTCTGTTAACCATAAATTTCCACGTTATGTTTTTGAATTGACAATGTTAAATGATTAATTGTTTTTCATTTATTACAGGCCGTAGCCATGCTTCAGGGATAATTAAAAAGTCGTTTAATTAAGCAAAAGAACCATTCAATAAAAAAAAAACAACAACAAACAATCAAATTGTCAACTCAAAAAAAAAAATGTTACAAGTTTGCCTGTGTCGCGCATAGGCGCTCTCTTAAAGATATGTAACATTAAAATTTATAAGCATTAAATTCTAAGTCTGGAGACAGAATTTTAAAACTTATGTAAAAAGAACCGGGGTGAAAGGGAAGGTGAGAGCGAACATGTTAAATATTCAAAATTCCTTCAAAAGAAATGTCCACAGACTTCATTCATTGGACATGAGCAAAAAATAGGGCTGGGCAATAATATCGATATTTCAATATATTGCGATACAATGTCAAAAAATATCGTATCGCAATACTATTTTGTAATTTCGATATACATGTATTGGCAAAATGCTTAGATTAAGGAATTTTGTCATTAAATATAAAAATGGACTTATGAAAGTTTGTTATTAAGTCAAACAGTAAGACAGAAGTTGTTTTGTTGGAACATTTCAGAGCATAACTTAAATGAAATCAACAAGATTTTTTCCGTGTTGGTTACTTATCATAGTTATGTACATTCTGCATGTAAATTAAAGTAAATATAGTAAGAAAATGCCATTTAAATTACATTGAAAATATTGCAATACATATCGCAATACAGCTAAAAGTATCGCAATATATCGCAATACGAAATCTCGCGACAATACCCAGCCCTAGCAAAAAATATGAACCATAATTGCAGTGCATGACAGTGACGTAGTATCGTTTTTGAAAGTGGGGATAGCCCGAGAAAAAAACAATACCCATCTTATCTGAAGAAAAAAGAAACTGACAGAAAAAAAGAAAGAACAAAAGGAAACTTGAGTGTGTGAGGGTGTGTGTGTGAGGGTGAGAGGGTGTGTGAGTGTGTGTGTTTGGGGGGGGGGGTGGAGGGATAGGGAAGCGAACTTCTTTCGTTGCCATTTTTTCATATATTACTACTTTACCCTTCCTTCACTACCCTGCAACAAAAGTAGGGAAGAGAGCTGGGGGGGGGGGACTTTCGATTTAAGGGGGCCGACTCTAGTTTTCATTGCGCAATATTTCGCGCATCATAGTAAAATGAAGCGTATTTACTGTTTTAAAGCAACTTTTTTCACTTGATTAATAAAATAAAACAAAATTAAGCAATTACAGGTTTAAAAATGTAATAACAATTTTATATAACTGAATTTTTAACCGATTTTCCAACTGATAGGTAGGTTGACGTCGTTATAGTGCATGATAAATTGAAGCTCTTAAAGAAAGGGGTAATAAAGATGTTATTAAATAAAAAGTAATAAACATACACTCTTGAAATTTACTACATAGGAATTTGATAATCTCTTCATCATATTTTATTATTTTTGTATAAATCCTATGCATACGTCATATTTTGTAGCACTCTATAATAACAGGAAAATTCGTTAATTTTTGGCCTTTTGAGATGCCCCCCTCTGGTAACAAGACTGTAGAATTTTGTGTTTCTTACAAATAATGTACAAGATAGTATTACTCATCAAATATTATAGTTTGAACAAAAACGCTATTGTAGTATTTGTATAATTTGCTTTAAAGTGCTAAAAATTGGCACTTTCCTACATAATCCTATAGTAAATGTACCTGTATTTTGAGATGGTCCCTTAGAAATACCTGGACGGTACATTTCCCCCAAACTTTGCTTGTACACTAAAGTTAATGTCAGTTAAATATGGTATAAAAATGAAGAGTTTCGCTTTTGTAGTTTTCACGCAATAAAACCATAGTCGGCCCCCTTAAATTTACAATCGTAAAAGTTTATAAGTGGAAAAGGGTAAAGGAGGGAACCAGGCTCCCTGACAGGAGTCCTCTGTCGAAGTTGACCCCGTAGAATATTGACCGGGGATACCCGAAATATGGGTCAGATCAAATAGTAGAACAGGAGGTCACAATGGCATTATGTAATAAAGAATCTGTAAAAGTATCATCAAATTTTATTCAGTGGTATAAGACGAGTTGCAAATAAGAGATGGGAACTCTTCAGTATTATAGAAAGAATGGCAGTGTCCATGTTTGCTATGGGAAACCCAAAATATTTTTTTATCAAAAAGTAAAATAGAAGGTATACTCCACGGCACTATGTAACAATTTAACAAAGATTCTGTAAATGTCTCATTAAATTTCATTCAGTGGTATAGGAGAATTTGCGGATGAGAAATGGGTACCCCAAAGTGTAACAGACAGACGGACGTACAGCTAGACGAACGATCGGACGGACATCCCGATCACTATATACCACTTTTCAAGCGGGGTGTTAAAATCCATTCTGAAAAAGTGTGCATATTTCTGAAAAATCGTTCAGGATTTTCATCTTCTAATTCTTCTTATACATCTACATGTATCTCCGTCTCTTTCAAGAGAAGCTAAAGCTTGCTTTATTTGTGTAAAGATTTCTCCTTTAAAGTACTAAATTAACAGAATCCCTCATAATAAAAATAATTCAAATAGAGAAATCCATAATTTTATTTAAAACATGCTTATCACAATTTAACATCTTTTTTGCCTATTACGAGCTCTCCCACGGAGCCAACGATAGCGCCTGCTGTTGTGGTACCGGCTATGTCGGGTTCTGGAGTCGTGGTTGGTGCGGTGGTAACAGAAATAGGTCCACCTAATGTGGTGGTGCTCGTAGGTATCGGTGTTGATGGCCTCATGGGTGTCCCTAATGTGGTGGTCGTTGGAACGGGAGTTTGGTCTACAATGGATATAGTATTTAGAAAGTACGTACATTTACCAATGAAATGTATATATTATATTTTCATGTAAAATCAAAATTATTTCAAGTAAATTCCAATTTAATTGAGTGATTGCAAAAAATAAAATGACTTTCCACTGGCGGGCTTAGAGTAGGAGGGGGACAGGGGGCTCCCCCTATTGTGTCCAAAACATACGTAAGATTTCTGAATTATATTTTAGTGTGGCTGTAGGCCCCTATCCGATCCAAAACTGGTCGCCCTCCCCCTTTTTTCAAGATTCCTGGATCCGCCACTGCTTTCTTTTGAATATCAGAGCAAAAATCCACTTACTGTATTCGCAAACGTATGGATAGTTCTCATGCACAAGGCCTAGAGGATCCAACTTAACACAGGGATAGTCGTGCCAGTGACCGGAGTCCGAGTACTTCAACAGGACGCAGTCCTCCTCTATAAGATGTGGAAGATGAAGGCCTCCTCCTGTCAGGGTGTCCAAAATCAGACGTTTTCTACCGATACTGGGTAAGTCCACCACTCCGGGCTGTCCCGCTGCCCAGTATGTGAAAGTCGACGCCTCGCCTGCAAGTTAATATTACCTTGATTAAAGATATGCATACGATTGTTCCCGTCTCTTGCTGAAGTTTGTGAACAAGTCTTAAATTATAGTCGAAATAAAAACTTTGATTGATTGATTGTTGTTTAAGGTCCCTCTCTAGAATTTTCACTCGTATGGAAACGCCACCACCACCACTTGTCGGTGGAGGGCTACAAATTCTTACCTTTAATTTATTCGGCACTTACGTCCTTTGAGCAGTGAGGGAACTTTTTAATGTCAGCACTTACTGCGACACGGGACCTCTGTTTATACGGTCTCATCCCACGTCCCACAGTGGGATTCGAACCCGCGACGTAAGGATCAACTCCTTACTCCGCGACTCTACAGAGCAGACGCTCTTACCATGCACTGCGCCACATTTAATGATATACTTTTGAAAGGACTTTATTCGGTAAATAGCCAATTTTTGCCCACGAAATCAAACGGAGAAATTTTTAATTATGTTCTAAAACAGGGGGATATATGCTGACTTCAAAGCACTGAATAATTTCATCAGCAATGATGTTATTTGTTTGAAATGACGTCACGAAAATTACGTAAATTTAAAATTTCCATGATTTCTACAGAAAAATATACCCGGTATATATTACGTCGATATTTTGAGAAAAAATCACCGAGTGCAGGTCTGATCAGGCTCAATATTTTGATATAATGTGTAGAATGGTAATATCAATGAAATATGTAAATATCGTTCCTGGGCAAACTTGCGCTCTATAAATTCTATAACTAAAATTGTTGAAATGTTGTCAATTTTGTCCTTTTTCTAAAAAATGATATAAAATCGGACGAGTTTGTGACGTCATAAAAACAAAAATAATCAACTAACTACTTTGAAACTCTAATATTTTCTGTTAAATCATATTTTTTATACAATTAATGGAATTCAGCACATTTCAAGAACTTTTCAAAATTTAACTTTTGTGGGGGCAAATATATGCAACATACAGCAAATAGTTCTTTGAGTGTAGAGGCAAAAGAATACCGCCAATTCTTGGACCATTTTGAAAATTTAATATTCTTAGATATCCTTCATAAATTTTGTCTGCAATCAAATCGGCAACAGACTTTTAAAAATGTCAAAGAGTTGAAAACAAGATATCTACCATTAATCCATGTAAATTTCCCTTCCTGTTGTGCATCGGTTAATCCAATCCAAACTCCCTGACCGTGGAATGGAAAGGATCTCAATGAAGACATGATGAAGAATTGCTCTTCTATATTATTGATGACAGCCAGAGTTCCTCCTTTGGAACTGCAGTCATTTTCTGCCACGGTCCATTCCACGTGCCGGTGGATCATGAACTCGTAACAATGTCCACTGTAAGTCTTCAGATGTGTAGATTGCTGAAGATTTGGAGGGCAAAACTGTAGCTCATCGCCCCCATCTTTAAACAAAAATGAAAAACGCAAATGTTCCAGGTAGTTAAATTTTTATTTTGTTTTCAATAACGGATTCTTCATGAAATGAGAAATTATCTGGTTAATATGATTGTCTGTCGTTTACACTATCTTGGCATTCATGATTGTTAATCTGATATCTTTTTGAAAACTACAATGACTCCCTATTTTTCAGTACCTTTTGGGACAAATGGTTATAAAATCGTATATTTAAAGGCATCGATCGCCATAGATATGATTGCACCTTTCTATGATCATCTGTAAAATACACGTACCAAATCTGCATGCCCTCTTGAGAACAAGTACGTACATAATAAACTGTAGAAAATTTCCTATACAACATCTTCAAATTCTCATTGGTTCAGAAATTAATAACATCAGCAAATTTAAATTGTTGCTAATTATGTAAAACGCTGTGATTGGATTCTTGACATAATGCCACGCCTTAGGCTTATGGAAAGTCCAAGGATAACAGAGAATTGTACTATTTTTCCCAACCTAGTTCAATATTTTACAAAACGCCATAATAAGATTTGGATATTCAAGATCATATAATTATATTCATTAATTGAAACTGTCTTAATGTTAATTCAAGACTGAAAATGTAATGGTTCAAGACTGAAAACTTAATGGTTCAAGACTGAAAATGTAATGGTTCAAGACTGAAAACTTAATGGTTAAAGACTGAAAATGATTAGGTTGCAATTGCAATTTCATGAAGATATTTCGATTATTAAGCCCTACGTAGCATGAAATTCTACAAAAAAATATATAACCCTCAGTTCAGTAGCCGGTCAGAACTTGATTAGTGTCAAAACTCAAAAGTTTAAAATTGTAATTACTGAGTATTTGATCCTAGCCCCCAAAATTGTGGCCACCAAAAATTAAAAAAAAACACTCACAAACTGTGGTGACCAGAATTAGCGATAATGCCAAGATCCACATTGCGTAAGGTAAGAAAGTACCAACCACGTACAAATGCATTATATCTGTGATCTCTTAGATCATTCTCTTATCAGTTAGGTTAGTGACCTTAAGTCCTGAATATTGCAAACCAAACCAGATTTTTTTTATATGAACAGAACACAGGTACTTGTGGACAGGACCCCCCCCCCCCCCCGATATTCAACCCCGGGGCTTATTTGACATTTTTTCACAATTTATATTTATTACACTTATTCAACATGTTTGCAATAGGAATAAATCGTCAAAACCCCAAAATAATCGCTCCACAAAAAATACTCCACTATACATCTCTCATTTGATGTATAGTGGAGTATTTTTTGTGGAGCGATTATTTTGGGGTTTTGACGATTTATTCATATTGCATACATGTTGAATAAGTGTAATACATATATAAATTGTGAAAAAAATGTCAAATAAGCCCCGGGGTTGAATATCGGGGGGAGGGGGGTCCTGTCTACAAGTACCTGTGGAACAGAACAGTTTTGTGGAGAAGCCCTCTGCATCATTATAGATTTCGGACTGGAAACCATTGGCTAACGAAGATGTATTCAATAATATAGTGATAAAAACTGTTCTTTAAAATCTGAATTTTTTTTTCAATTTCTACCTTTGCGATGTTAAAGTAATTATTTTTAAGTACTAGTACATTTAGGATGTAAATATTTGTCAAGTTGAAGTGTCCTTTTGTCCAGTTTTGTCCCAAAAGTCATGCTATATATTTGTTTGGATTTTACTTAGCATTTACATTTCCTTTTGAAAATCATAAGAGTTAAAGAAACATTTTATCTGAGTGAGCAGAGGGTATTTAACCACCCCCTTCAGAATCACATGGCCGTCCCCTTACATTATTCACGCAAATCTTCTAATTTCTCTTTGCAATTGATGTGTGTGTTTAAGTTTAAACTGTCATACACAAGTTGGGAGCGGACCTCTAAAAACATAGGAGATGAGATGGGGTGTCATGGAGAAATATTCATCCCCTGTCGAACCCTCCGATCTTACATTCAAATTCACAAATGAACAAAAAAAAACTTTGAATGCACCACCCAGAAAACGAAATCTTGTGTGTCAGTTGAAATGTTGAGGACATTGATATATAAAGATAGACTCTAATTGTAATGGTCCGAAATATCTGGCGTTCTCCTGGCTTTTTTACGGTGTTGGTATTTTACTTGTCAGGAACGTAAAATTCATGTATCAAAATCGTAAAAAAAAAAAAAAAAAAAATCCAGGAAAACGTCAGATATTTCGGACTATAATTTGTCCTCCGTAAAAAGTAGGAAGTGAACATTAAATTATTTAGCACTTTCTTTACTAGAACTTACATATGATGCTTTTAACAAAACCGGTAAAAAAAAATAAAAGCTGAGAGAGAGACTAATTTTCGATTTTCACATAAATCCTTGAACCTCATTAGTTAAATGTGTTGCCTCTGTAACTAGATTCTGCAATATTCAGCTAGAATGCCTAGCACATGTATGTGGATTTTAATCTGCAAAATTTAATCTCTCTCTTTAAAATATCTTACGTACCATAGTTATCAAAATCAACGACATTCAAAAGACATGAGGACACAATTTATTATATGGTGATCATGGAAAAAACATTCAAAACATTTATAGCATATGTCAACAACTTAAAAGCAAGTTTTCACTACATGAGTTATCTTTGTCTGCATCATTATCACTTTCATCAGTTCATCCATTTTTACACGTCAAGTCTTGCATACTGAAATGCCACTTTCGCTTCTCTGTTACTCTTCATTACCACTCATTTTCTTTCAAGGCGAGATACTGTTTCGCTGATTCTTCTTCCATGGTTTTCAAAAAGTCATACAGTCAAACTATATACAGTCACACTATGTAAAAAACAATATAACAATAGCCATTCCAATACATGAAACTGCTACATAGGGACTGAGTCTTTCTCCTATCCGTGCACACTTCCAAAATATCCCAAGAATCCCTGTTTTATTTTTGTCCAGCAGACGTGGAGCTATAGACCTAATATATGCACATGTACATATAAGCAACAAAACAACTGTCAATAAACTTTGAAAATTAAATAAAGCAGACATTTTTCCATGTAACACGGACAACTTCCGGTTTACGTGTCTTTTCTTTCTTAGAGTAACTTCCCTTGTGCTATTTTAGGTAGTGATGATCTAGAATGTGACGAAATAGCCCTCGTGACTCTCCAAATATTAATTCGCAGTCATTTCATATTGTTCGAAATACTGCTGTTAGCATTTTTGATATTTACCATAGTGTTGATCTTTCATTTCTTTAATTGTTTAAGTATCAAAAGAAACCTTAGACGGATTTATCTGACGTTATTAACAATCGTCTTAGGAACTACTTTGTTTTGTGCATGAATTTGATTGTTTATATCAGTGGTCAGCCATTTTGTTTACAGAGGAAAGGAAAACTATTTTACGCCTGAAATTACAACTCAAATACAGCAATCATGAAGTGGGAATACAAAGAAGAACATCCTTTTGAGAAAAGAAGAGCTGAAGGCGAGAAAATCAGAAAGAAATACCCAGACAGAGTGCCCGTATGTTTTTAATTAGGGATAAAAAAAATTGTGTCGTAATGCGATGCAATGTCAGAGGAAATAGAAAATAATGAAATGAATAACTGCAGAGTTTAACATATTTCTGATAATAATTATTGTTATTGTTTGTCAGATGACTACTATGCATGCAAGTGTTAAAGTCCATAGACTGACTGAATGCGCAATTGAAATTGTATGATTATGAATGCTGTAGTATTTTTTGTAACATTTAATAATATGCTCATTGATATAATCAAATATAGTTTATAATTGTTGTCATCTGGCATCCATTTTATTTCAGTAAACCATTTTATGTGTTTCAACCAAAAACTGTATTTGAAGGTTCATGTTGCTTTTGCAGTTTATATTTTTGTTGACAGGTCATTGTTGAAAAGGCACCAAAGGCTCGTGTGGGAGATTTGGATAAGAAAAAGTATTTAGTTCCCTCAGATCTAACTGTTGGACAGTTTTATTTCTTGATCAGAAAGAGGATTCACTTGAGACCCGAGGATGCCCTGTTTTTCTTTGTGAATAATGTCATTCCCCCGACCAGTGCCACAATGGGATCCCTGTATCAGGTAATCTAATTTAATAATTTCAATTGGAAGTTAGAGAAAAGAAAGAGCATTTGAAAATAATGGTAATTGACATGAGTATATTTAAAGTTTAGAGGTATCAGGCTTTACTTCTTTAAAGCAAAACTCTGTTTTTATAATGGTTCCATGCCTAAAGTAGTTTTTCAGAGTCAGACCTACTCAAAATATTTATTCGCTCAATATGTACCATTTTCTATGTTTTCAACTTTTTTGCAGAATCAGCTAGTCAATATCAGTTATACTTGGCATAATGCTTGATCATCTGATATATAAAATTCAATTTTGCTCAATGAATGATTGAATCCCTCTGCAGGAAAAGGGAGGGGGGTCGTTAAGCAGCATTAAAATGGGAGAGATTCATGTTAAAAAATCTTAAAAATCAACAAAAAATATATCTAAAAACATTTACCTCCTACTGGTTTCATGCTTTATCATGTTTAAGTACACTATAATTTAATTTTGTTTGTATTCTTGCCTCTCATTGGTTGATTTCCAAAAAGGAACGCATAACATTTTGTATAATCTGGTTTGGTATGGGGACACACCCCCTTGACAACCAGCTGAATCATCTGTATCCATCAATCCCCTCATTTCCAGTCCTTGAGATTCATGGAAAATTCCAGATTTAATGAATGTACCTTTATCTTCAAACAGTTGCTCGATCTTACCTCATGTAAACAAGCATCATGGCTGCTGGATCTATGTATCAGTTTTTACCTCCCCTTGCTTCCCATCACTTCCGTTACTACGGTTGTAAATAAATTTGAACTCATAAAAACAACACAATTTTACATCCCCAGTTGTTTAATTATTTTAAAATTAAATTATAAGGAATGATGTTATCGATATAATATGGTTTGGGTCAGTTTACGCTTTTTTAAATCTGTACATTATAAAGGTAAAGCTATTATACTCGATAATTTGGCCAAGAATTAGAGTCATTCCTTAATTAAAATTTGTTTAGATTTTTTCCCCCAGGGGCTTTGACAAAACCAGTGATCTAATCATTGAAACATCTGAATAGAAATGTAATTTAAATCTTCTAAAGTACAGGAAAGCCCTAATTAGTCAAAATTAAAAGCAAGTTTCCCTATGGAGCATATATTCAAGTTCAGTTATTCATATTGCATCCCTTGGGTAAGTAGGATGCATTAGATAACATTGAGTGGACAAATAATTTTTTTTTTAACTCTTATAGAGAAATATTTTAGAACTGATTTGTCAGGAAACACAGGACATCAATTAATTATCAAATATACATATTTAGTGCCATAATCAGTCATTTTTTAATTGTAATAATTCATGTCCAATTGGCAGGTCAAAAACACATAGGGTGCAAATCAAAAAGAAAAGGCAGGATATAATCAGCTTTAGATATATATAATATATATACATATGTAAAAAAAAAAACAACAAACACACACACTCATGGTGTAGTTACAAAGTCTATCTTTGAATTGGGTCTTTATACTAAGTAAATTGGATACGACTACATGTACTGACAGTTTGTATCTCCGATGTTTAGTATCAATTCATTTGCTAGAAATAGAATCAGGGTTCAACACTAACATTTAATTTTTTAGGCTTTGGTCTGGACGGACTAATGCTTCTTAACTTTTACTAGTCCGCGGACAATTTTATGAGTCCGTCAAAAATATAAATAAATAAATAGAATTAACATTGCAATGTATTTTTAAAAATACTTCTTTGAAATAAACAAAACATTTACATGAAATGTTTTATACCAAGATTCGTTGAAATCGCACGATCAGGAACTACACTGTACGATTGTATTCCAGATCTCATTCGTTTTTCTCTATACATGATTACATCATCTAAACATCCAACATCTTTGATCTTTATGTGTCATACTAAATCATGATCATTAAAATGTTTAATTCTATACCAATGTGTATGAGTCCTAAATTTATAAGCACCGAATTGACTCAGAATTACCTAACTTCCCACCAAGAAGCTAGAAAGCTGAAAATAAATATGGGGTTTTCCATTGAAAGTTGTCGAGAACTGAACATCCGTAAATTCTTTCTTTTTTTCAAAGAAAACTGTATAAGTCCATTCTGAACTAATTAGCAACAAATTTTATCAGTCCAAATGAAAATGTATTAGTCTGAGACTAACGGACTAACGTTAATGTCGAACCCTGAGAATGGAGATTAATAATAATGTGTGTAATGGTACATATAATATTTTTCATTTCAAGTGCTATAAATTAGTAAAGATTATCAATTATGAATCATGAAATTTATGAATGGAGATCTTCTCATAAAATCATAGGGATCAAAGTGTTATTAGCTAAGCCTTTTAAACTTGCAAATAATCGAGCAGCTGTTAAAAATGTTTCAATACAAAATTTTGTTAAAAGAGCTACATGTATTATTGTCTTTCCTGCAATTTTCCTGTTTTTAATTCATTCACTTGCAACAAGGGCCGAAAATAAAATGGGGCATAACTGTACATGAATATGTTAGTTATCAATATTGGAATGAAAAAAATGTAGAATATTATGGTTTTAAACAGTATGTCATATTTTTGGGGTAAGTAACTATGATGATGTTCAATATATAAATTGTCTAATCTATGCATAATGAAAAATTACATACAAACAAATTACACAAAGCTTATTTTCCCCGCAGGAACATCACGAAGAGGATTTCTTTCTGTACATTGCTTACAGTGATGAGAGTGTTTATGGTGCATAATGTTATCAAGGCTTGGTTATACTTCAGAAACATTGGTTTTCCCACTGGACTTTTGAGAAGTTTATACTTGTTTACAAAGCTTTTCAGAGCGACCTTGTACATTTTGGTTGCTATGTCGTAAATTGCATCAGGTGAGAAGACAACTCTATTCCATGGTGTCACTTGTTTGCTTTTCATTGTTGAATGTATCTAAATAATTATTAACTGTTGCAAAAAAAAATTCATCCTGTTAACTAGAGTAGTATTTATATTCAGACAAGCATTTGTTTGAAGTCTTCAGCAATTTGTACCAATTTTTGTGTCAGGAAATTTTAGAGTTATCATGGTTATGATAAACTTATTTTCATTATCATCTTCTGATCTTAATGTCATTCATGTCATTTTAATGACTTTTTTTGGATGGTAAATTTGGTGTTTACATTCTTTTATGTTTATTATTTTTATTAATTGTATTATATGTAAGCATGTAAATAAAATCACCCAAAAAAAATGTTCTTGGATATGTTTTGAAGGAAACAAATTTCTTGTTTCATTGCTATCTTTAAGACAACCAGCAAAAAGTAGAAAGTATTTCTAGTTCTCCTGAAAACTAATTTTGGAGCATTGAAAGACATGGGCACACTTAATCCCCCCTTTTTGAATTGGAGATGGGCTTTTACATGGATGTCCTACCACTTACTTGACTTGGTAGTGTCCTAGTCAGAATTTTTACATAGATGTCCTACCACTTAGTAGTGTCCAGAGGATCTTAGATTTAAATGGGTTCAGGCTTGATCATGTCTTAAGTTTAATCTCATGGATAAAGGTCACTTAGATGCTTAGTAAAAGGTTGTCAGAATTATGAATGAAACCCTAGACAGTACTGTGGAATCATTTTAATTATAGAAGATCAGTGTTTTCGTGCAACAAAATTTTTGTTCGAGTGGAAATTATTTGGAGGTTGATTCATTTCATATACATGTAGAGAAGATTCAATAAACTGATAGATCATAAATTAACTGTTCAAGAGGATATACATTTGTAAAGTTGGAATTGATAAAATTTGTGATATACCCTATGAACAATGATGATTCCACGTAGCTTTCATAAGGTGTTACTTTAACTTACTTTTAACTTAACAAAGGTGTAATGTGGTCTTGAAATAAGATCCAGTCAAGGTCATCACACACACACACCTAGCTTACACTAGTCATCAATGAGATGTGTATTGTATTAAATTCCGACAGTCAAACTCGAAATAAATATGTCAGATAGTACATGAATGCCCTACCAAGGGTATATTACCCTGGTAGTGGTAGTAACTCAACATATACATTTGCATTGGTATAATATGAAGTTTTTAGCTCACCTGAGCCGAAGGCTCAAGTGAGCTTTTCTGATCACATTTTGTCTGTAGTCCGTCTGTCTGTCTGTAAACTTTTCACATTTTCGACTTCTTCTCAAGAACCGCTGGGCCAATTTCAACCAAACTTGCCACAAAACATCCTTGGGTGAAGGGGATTCAAGGTTGTTCAAATGAAGGGCCACACCCTCATTCAAGGGGAGATAATTGGGAATTAATAAAAATTTTGTGGCATGTTTTAAAAATCTTCAAGAACCACTGTGCCAGGAAAGTTGAAACTTATATGAAAGCATCCTCAGGTAGTGCAGATTCAAATTTGTTCAAATCATGACCCCCGGGGGTAGGGCAGGGCCACAATGGCCGATCAAAGTTTTACATAGAAATGTATAGGAAAATTCTTTAAAAATCTTCTTCTCAAGAATCACTGTTCCAGGAAAGATGAAACTTATATGGAAGCATCCTCAGGTAGTTTAGATTCAAGTTTGCTCAAATCATGACCCTTGGGGGTAAGGTGGGGCCACAATGTCCGACCAAAGTTTTAAATAGAAATATATAGGAAAATTCTTTTAAAATCATCTTCTCAAAAACCACTGTGCCAGGAAAGATAAAACTTATATGGAAGCATCCTCAGGTAGTGTAGATTCAAGTTTGTTCAAATCATGACAAATCATGACCCTTCCGGCCAGGAAAGATGAAACGGGGCCACAATGGCCCCACAATGGCTGACCAAAGTTTTAGATAAAATATATAGTTTTACATAGAAATATATAGGAAATTCTTTGTTCAAAGTCTTCTTCTACATAGATATAGTAAAGCCATAATTGATCATATTTATATGGAAGCATCCTCATGCAGTGTAGATTCATGGTTGTTCAAATCATGACCCCTGGGGGTAGGGGGTAGCTTATATTAGGGGAGGGCAAAGTTTTACATAGAAATATATAGAAAATTCTTTAAAAATCTTCTTCTCAAGAATAGTAAAGCAATAATTGATCATATTTATATGGAAGCCACAGTGGACGACTAAAGTTTTACAATTAGAACTATATAGGAAAAATCTTTAAAAATCTTCTTCTCAAGAAAAGCAAAGCTATAATTGATCATATTTATATGGAAGCATCCTCAGGTAGTGTAGATCAAGTTTGTTCAAATTATGACCCCCGGGGGTAGGGCGGGGCCAAAATGGCCAACCAAGTTTTACATAGAAATGTATAGGAAAATTCTTTAAAAATCTTCTTCTCAAGAATAGCAAAGCCATGATTGGTCATGGGACTACTTTAAGATTTAAACTTTTCAATAATAAACCAATTTCTACTTTTTCCTAGCCACAGTGCTCAGGTGAGCGATGTTGCCCATGGGCCTCTTGTTTTAAGAATAATCTTGAATAGAGTATTTTCCATTGAGGTGATTTAAGCAAGCATTATTCCCCTAGCGCTATATTGTAGGTCAACATTTCCAGATCCCTTCATTATTCAACCAGGTTCAATTTATTTTACTGGTTACTGAGGTAAAGATAACACTATTTTTCTTATGAATACATTAGTTCATAATTTTAAGATTATAAATATTTTCCCCCATATATTTCTTGCATGCATATTTAAAATTGGTTGCTCAAAGAAGTAAATTCACGACTTTGCCATACAAAATGGTGGCTATAAGGAGAATAACTTCTTGGCAAAATACTTCATAGGAAAAGGGTCTATAGTGTCTTTGAAATTGTCTTTGAAATTGAAGTTTAAAAAGTTGGAAGTACGTAGACATTTAATTCTCATCAAATTATAAGTTCATAAACTTCATAAACTATTCTTGATAAGATGATTTTTAAAGAATTTTCTTATAATATGTCTATGTAAAACTTTGATTGGCCATTGTGGCCCCGCCCTACCTCCAGAGGTCATGATTTGAACAAACTTGAATCTACACTACCTGAGGATGCTTCCATATAAATATGATCAATTATGGCTTTGTTATTCTTGAGAAGAAGATTTTTAAAGAATTTTCCTAAATATTTCTATGTAAAATTTTGGTTGGCCATTGTGGCCCCGCCCTACCCCTGGGGGTCATGATTTGATTTTGAACAAACTTGAATCTACACTACCTGAGGATGCTACCATATAGGTATGATCAATTATGGCTTTGTTATTCTTAAGAAGAAGATTTTTAAAGAAGTTTCCTATTTATTTCTATGTAAAACTTTGGTTGGCCAATTTGGCCCCGCCCTACCCCCGGGGGTCATGATTTGAACAAACTTGACTCTACTTCCTGAGGATGCTTCCATATAAATATGATCAATTATGACTTTGCTATTCTTGAGAAGAAGATTTTTAAAGAATTTTCCTATACATTTCTATGTAAAACTTTGGTTGGCCATTGTGGCCCCGCCCTACCCCTGGAGATCATGATTTGAACAAACTTGAATCTACACTACCTGACGATCTTTCCCCATAAGTTTCATCTTTCCTGGCACAGTGGTTCTTGAGAAGAAGATTTTTAAAAGATACCGACAAATTTTCATTAATTCCCAATTATCTCCCCTTGAATGAGGGCTTGGCCCTTCATTTGAACAAACTTGAATCCCCTTCACCCAAGGATGCTTTGTGGCAAGTTTGGTTGAAATTGGCCCAGCGGTTCTTGAGAAGAAATCGAAAATGTGAAAAGTTTACAACGACGACAACAGACAACGGACAAATTGTGATCAGAAAAGCTCACTTGAGCCTTTGGCTCAGGTGAGCTAAAAAGCTGAGCTAAACACAAATTCAAGAAAAGTGTGGTCAAAGGAAAGGAAAGAAATGTAGATGCAGTTGGATAGCTCTCATAACTAGTATGTATAAGCAGTTTAATATTTTTAATAGTTTCGTTGAAATTGCAGCTTTAAACTCAAAAGTTCAAAGCTATTAAAACACAAGGAATGATGGAAGAGCAGAAGAGGAACATGACAAACTCTATATGCCCCCGCCACATTCATTGCATAAAAAATAATTATAATGCTTCAGCCTAATGTGTTGCAATTAATTTGAAAGATGAATCCAACTAGATCATCTTCTTGCTAATATCTTGGTAAAATTTTACAGAAATAATTAAAATACAATTTTGTTTAAATTTTTAATAGCATCAGACATCTTTTATCGTGTTAAAGAACATGAAAGACAGTTTTTAGATATATCACATTTGAGATTCATTTTGTGTTAACCAAAGTAAAACACATGATCACAATTTATGTAACATTATAGGGTAAAAAACCCAGATCTGATATCTTTACTTTTCAACAGATGTACATGTATTACTAAAAATAAAATATGCTTTATTAAAAACAAGAAAAATAATGACACGATCTGCAAAAATATTTACATTTCACATACATCCTTCTTTTAAGGCAATTTTGGACAATCTTTCAACATCAAAATCCATTAAAAAAAAATCTGAGATACAGGCAATTTGGACTATCTTTCAATATCAAAATGCATTCAAAAAAGTTTCTTTCTGAGATTATATGTATTTATGACTAGACAACACCATTTAGTAAAACTGTTGTTGTTATACAAGTATATACAATCAAATTTAAAGCTTTGCATATTGAAAACTTACGACTAAATTAAAGCCGTCACTGAAATAGGCTCCACTGTCTGAAACATTTAACTGAAAACTTATGTCAGTATCTAATTCATATACGTAATTAAAATACTAGCAAATAATTTTTCACAATGTATAAAGATATTAAAGCACCAGATGATACATATTTTTACTTGAAATAAAATTGATCAGCATAAAAAGGGAAGATCAATGCAAAAATTCACTTGTACAGGCATCTCAAACATACATTCATAAATCAAAAACCACCCTACAACTGTCATTCTCTCCGGATTTCCATTTCTCAAGAGGACATTTGCTTGTTTATCATTTTTCATCACATTACTTCTGCCAGTTTTTATAAAATGTCTAAAACAAATACTGATTCAACAATGATCAAATTTTGAGTATCAAGTTTATATGCAGTAAGTTATTCGCTTTGTAAGAAATACATGTAAGATATTTTCCCATACATTGTGATGTAATTAAAAGGAAAATTAAACTCATTTTAACATCATCCACTCAAAATCTACCTATTCAGCAGTATAAAACATACATTTACATGTCACTAGTTCACTCAAGCACACTGTACAAAACTACAGATGAATTATGACAAAATGACTCATTTAAAAAATGGATTTTATTAAGGATCGACAAATGAAATCATGATATACCGCGTCCCTTTGGTAACAACAAGGCCTTCATGGAAATGTGTTAGTCTTCCAGGGTGCATCAACATCCATCCCTTTCGAGTTGCTGTCACGCTGCACTTGTATCGTATGAAGCGACATCCGCCACCCTAAAATGTAAAATCAAAAGGTCTTATTATTTCTCTACCCCATGTACTGATAGTTGTGAATTTCTTACAACTAAAGCCAAACCTTATTACCTCCCAACTAGACTAAGATTAAACTTTGAGAGATCGGTGGATATGAGATATGCAAGTCACTGACAAAAATTTTTTTTTTAACCAGATCAATACAGTAAGTACACATTAATCTGACCTCAAAGTCCACTTTAGGTGTGTTGAGAGCAATGTTGATGGTGAAGGTTGAAGAGTCATGATGTGGACGTAATCTGTCCTGCTCGTTTGGTCTGTATCGTACCACAAAGTTCATTATTGCTCTGGGAGGCTGAAAAAAGTAAAGAATCATTTACAAACGCTCCAAAAATGTGTATACACATTGTATACCAAAACTTGAGTGAAAAATAAACATCATATTTAAATAAAGTTCTGCTTTTAGAATTAAACATTTTATTTTATATATTGTCTAATCTTTTCAATATAGCTGACACAATTTTTACTTTGTCAGACTTTTATTCTTCTGATTGATTTTTGTGTGTGATAAATCTGATTCTACTTACATCGCTGTGGTATCCGGCGAATGCCTTCTCCTGTAGAGGAGATATATACACCTTAAGGAACTGTAACCACTGCTTCTCCAGGCCTATCTGGTTCATGTGGGTGTCTACGGTGGGGACATTCTCGTAGCCTGTAGCCAGGCGGGGATCCTAGAAATGGGATGGAAAAAAGGGAAATGCGTACAAACTATAAAAATAAACAGAATGGAAAAAGCAATTAAATTAAAAATACAAAATCAGATTTGAAAACAGGATTGTACTTTGTCTAAAAAGTGTTTCCTGGGCATTAATTTGAAGAGACATCTTTCTTTAAATTTCTATGGGGTCCGTGAACTGTTATTAACCTGAATCACATTGCTGTAGTATTTACCTCATTTTTGCCACCTGACCACTGATTAGCATGCTCCATTTCAGCCACTAATTCATCAGCAAATCTGTTGGTCACAATGGGGAACCAGAAAACATCTGGACAGGGCTGAAAGGAGTTTAAAATAGTTAATGATATCAGACAAGTGGGTGATTTATGGTATTAAAATATTTTTTTTGGTACAACTGTGGTTTATATACCAGTACCTGTACCAATTCTTTGATACTCTCAACTTCCAGACTTTTGGAATAATTTTCATGAATATACTTCTGTTCCCAATCCTGAAATAAAATTAACTCATAATAAGAAATCTTAGGTGTTTTTTAAAGTTTCTTAAGCAAAAAAGAAATTATGATTAGAAACAGTATAGAGTTTCTTGAATACAGAATGTCTGAAAACCTTTAGTTGACCTACAAAGAACTTTGCAGTTTTCAGTGAAATAGTAAACTGAAATGCTTACGTAGGGGTTTTGAAAGATTTGATAGAGGTCATTGTGTAGATGAGAAGTCTCCATGTCATCAAATTCCACAAGATGGCCGTGGATTTTTCTGTTGGTGGCATACATAAAAATACCCTGCAAGAAATGAACATGCCTATAATGCATTCACACATACAGTGATTATTAACATAGTGAATATAACAAACTACATTTACAGGTAAACTTCGTTATCTCGACATTGGCGGGACAATCGGGAAATGTCGAGATATCCGAGGTGTTGAGATATCAGAGTTGAGACTCGACGTCTTTAATTTACGTACTGCTTAGTAAAACATACGCGTCTACACTGTAGCTTGTTTGTTTTAGCTATCCCTCTATATTAAATAGAAAATCTGAGAAATTATTCATAAATTTGATTTATGAAATGCTTCCCTTTTTAATGGAAATCTTCTAATTTTACCAATAAAAGTTTTCCAGCCACTGGCAGCCAGCATTCCGCGTACAACTTGCTTTATCAGAACAGGATATGAAATGTGCTCTATAAACTCCAAACCGTACCGATATAAAATCGACTTCCATGATACGGAAAAATTGAATTTAATGTGAATATTATTCATTGTAAATCAGCTACTTTTTTTAAACAAAATGTTAAAAATATGTTAGGTTTCGACATAAATAAACGGTTGTACATTTACGCAGAATCAAGCAGATTTATCTATGATATTACCCCAAGCTGAACAGGTTAACAAGGTGAACATTAAACAATTAACCACTCAGAGACACTGAGGGTGCTTGGGATTCCTCTACAAACACATTTCTACAGAAGCAGTCAAACGTTGCAAAATTAGGTCTTTTCCATTAGTATTGTAAAATTTTCCATTTGTATTGTATAATTTTTATTTGTATTCTATAATTTTCCATTTGTATTGTATAATATTTATTTGTATTCTATAATTTTCCATTTGTATTGCATAATTTTTCATTTGTATTGTATAATTTTCATTTGCATTGTATAATTTTCCATTTGTATTCTATAATTTTTCATTTGCATTGTATAATTTTTCATTTGCATTGTATATTTTTCATTTATATTGTAAAAAAATCATTTATATTGTAAAATTTTTCATTTGTATTCTATATTTAGATCTTTTCCATTAGTATTGTAAAATTTTCCATTTGTATTGTATAATTTTTATTTGTATTCTATAATTTTCCATTTGTATTGTATAATATTTATTTGTATTCTTTATATAATTTTCCATTTGTATTGCATAATTTTTCATTTGTATTGTATAATTTTCATTTGCATTGTAAAAAAAATCATTTATATTGTAAAATTTTTCATTTGTATTCTATATTTTCCATTTGTATTGTATAATTTTTCATTTGCATTGTATACTTTTTCATTTGCATTGTATATTTTTCATTTATATTGTAAAAAATCATTTGTATTGTATAATTTATACAAATAAAAATTGTACAATACAAATGAAAAATTATACAATACAAATGCAAAATTATAGAATACAAATAAAAATTATAGAATACAAATGAAAAATTATACAATACAAATAAAAAATTATACAATACAAATATAAAATTATACAATACAAATGGAAAAGATCGAATATTGCAACGTTTGACTTGCCATAGTATGTAGTCAAAACATGGGTGTGAAAGGTGTGAATTTCTGACAACGTCGAGATACACAGAGTCGTCCGTGCATGACGAGCGAACAGGTGACAAACAATTAGATTAAGTAGAGTAGAAAATTGCCCCGATGTCGACATATACCAGGTAGATTTGGCTCTTGGGACTGAAAATACATCGAGATAATTGGGGTAGTAAACATTACAGAGTTTTTGCAAATCATTTATACAGTAAGTAATGCCGGGACAGCGGACAGACGTTGACATATCCCAGGTTGTCGACATATTCGATGTCGAGATACCGAAGTTTACCTGTATAATGAATCAATTTTTGTTCCTTATAGGCACTTTGTGCTTTCTGAAGCTACTCAGCTTTCTATTCTGTAATTTTATGACTGAATAAGAAGAAAAACAATATCTGAATTTATTGTACAAGAAAATACGCACCCTTTGTCTGAGTCCCCCACAGAAGGCCATGTCAGCCTCCTTACCCTCATCCATATAAATATCCCTCAGGTCTTTCATCAGGGAGCCATGAATGAGGTAGGCCCCGGTGATGTAAGGAACATTCCACAATCCTCTGAAACATCAGTAATACATGTAGTACAATGTAGAAATCTTCAATCATACAATATTTATTCCTCAATGCTTTAAAGGTGTCAAGAAAGAAAGACAATGTGGTGTTTGATACACAAACTTTACATTCTGGTGTGGGAGGAAATGTCAATCTCAATTTAACTTTCTCTCAAACATGTGCACTGGTGCTGGGTAAACATAAAACTTGTACAATATGCTGACTTCCTTGTATAGGAATACATAACTAATCAAGTAATTCCTAACTCTAATCATCATTATACTAAGTAAATAATCACTTGCAAGTCAAAGATTACTTGTGAAATAAAAGTAACTTGTAATTGCATGTACTCTCTATAAAGAACTACATGTAAATGTGAAATTGTTTTATATCTATGACGGAAATTATTGTAGAATACTCTTTTTAATTATTTCACTATTTCCTCATTAAATACAAAATCTTAAATCTTGACAAACATTTGAAAAACACACATCAATGCATAAGCTTACATTTTCCTCTTTTCCACAATGTCTATGTAGTCCTCCGATCTCATATACCAGCCATTTCTGTCAACAGCTCCCCAGAAATTGGACCACAGTTTGTAAGGGCGGCTCAAAATAGGTGCCAAAACAGTCCTAAATATACATAATATAGTTATGAATGACTTTTTATGACTTTCTGCAAGTGTTTAGTATTTCTAAAAATTGCATTAGTGGATACCTGTATGAAAATATCAGAAAGTTTTTTAATGTTTAAAAATCTTCCTAAAATTACCTGTTCTGCTCTATGAGATCTATCAATGTATCTGGGTCACTGATTTGAGCATAGGCATCCACAGAAAACAGATATTGGTCATTCTTCTGTTTACACACCTCACTGTAAAAATATAAAACATATGAATCTGAAAGCTCTTGTTAATTTAATTATAAAGTCAATCAAGTTTCATAAATAAAGATCATATAATTTATTTCTGGATTAAAACAGCAGAGTTTAGTTTACTCTTCTGGGCCATATTCTCCAACCTTTAGATTACAGCTGACACATTACATCTTAAACACATGATGCATTAAAGTTATATACTTTTCGAGATAAATTCTTACACGGCCCAATTTCTGGCAGCAGGTTGATGGACTCCATCAGATGGCATCAGTACGGTGGTAGATCTGTACAGGTCATTGTACTTTTCCAGGAAATTAGCCACATCAATATTGTGGAACTCCACCTATCAAGCGAGATAAATCTTATCTTATATTCTTAAAAACAGGACACAGGTAACATAGATTCTTATTTAATACTGTAAACCAAGTACTATTTGCTTGCAAGAAATATTTGCGAGTTCACAACCTACTTTAACTCGTGAATATTAATTACCACAAACCATTTATTTTGCTTTGAATTTGTAGAGAATGTTTCCTCAGTTGCAAAAATTAACTAGAAATATGTCCATAGGACATGAATGCCCCGCCGAGGATATATTAGTAAAGCAACATGAAAATTTGTATGTGTATAAAATTTGATCAGTTTGGTTCAGGTAGGGCTTATAGTTACTAGGGAATAAAAATGTAGGTCAGATCCAGCATCAGAAGCAAGTCTGGTAGTGTCCATCCCTAGATGCATCATCCATACAAGTTTGGTTCAGGTAGGGCTTATAGTTACTTGGCAATGAAAATATAGGTCAGATCCAGCATCCGAAGCAAGTCTGGTAGTGTCCATCCCTAGATGCATCATCCATGCAAGTTTGGTTCAGGTAGGGCTTATAGTTACTTGGCAATGAAAATATAGGTGAGATCCAGCATCCGAAGCAAGTCTGGTAGTGTCCATCCCTAGATGCATCATCCATGCAAGTTTGGTTCAGGTAGGGCTTATAGTTACTTGGCAATGAAAATATAGGTCAGATCCAGCATCCAAAGCAAGTCTGGTAGTGTCCATCCCTAGATGCATCATCCATGCAAGTTTGGTTCAGGCAGGACTTATAGTTACTTGGGAATGAAAATATAGGTCAGATCCAGCATCCGAAGCAAGTCTGGTAGTGTCCATCCCGGAGATGCATCATCCATGCAAGTTTGGTTCAGGTAGGGCTTATAGTTACTTGGCAATGAAAATATAGGTCAGATCCAGCATCCGAAGCAAGTCTGGTAGTGTCCATCCCTAGATGCATCATCTATGCAAGTTTGGTTCAGGTAGGGCTTATAGTTACTTGGCAATGAAAATATAGGTCAGATCCAGCATCCAAAGCAAGTCTGGTAGTGTCCATCCCTAGATGCATCATCCATGCAAGTTGGTTCAGGCAGGGCTTATAGTTACTTGGGAATGAAAATATAGGTCAGATCCAGCATCCGAAGCAAGTCTGGTAGTGTCCATCCCTAGATGCATCATCCATGCAAGTTTGGTTCAGGCAGGGCTTATAGTTACTTGGCAATGAAAATATAGGTCAGATCCAGCATCCGAAGCAAGTCTGGTAGTGTCCATCCCTAGATGCATCATCCATGCAAGTTTGGTTCAGGTAGGTCTTATAGTTCCTTAGGAATGGACCTGCTCCAAAAACTTCAATCTGGTCACTCATCTGGAAAATGTAGGTCAGATCCAGCATCCCAAGCAAGTCTGGTAGTATTCATCCCTAGATGCATCATCCGTGCAAGTTTGTATCCACATGTGAAGTTTGATAACACCATCTTGAATGGTATGTTTAAAACTGAGCTAAACACTAATTTAAGAAAAGTGAGGTCAAGGTCAAATGAAAGGTCAAAGTCAAAAAATGTTGATGCAGTTGCATAGCTCTCATCAATATCTATCAGCATATGAAGTTTGATGAAAATATCTTGGATAGTTTCTTTGAAACTTAGCTTTGAACAGAGCTAAACGCAAAGTGTGACGGAAGGACAGAAGGACGGAAGACGGACATGACAAACACTGTATGTCCCGGCAATATTCATGGCGGGGCATAAAAATTGTGGATTGATTGCAAACTGACAAACAACTTTCACATTTATTAATTTCCTGATCAAAAAATATGAATAACTGAAATTAACATACATTGTTATGAATGAAAAGGTCCATTCTGGACTTTGGATATTTCAGTTGAGCTATTCTTTCCAGGAATTCTTCTGCAAATGGTGTTGGTTGTTCAAAGAAAAGTGACAATAAAACAGATGGGAATTCTTCATCCTACAAAATACCAAATAAAATGTAAAAAATGCTTTAACATGCAATTCATGTTACAGCAAAACTCGTTTAGTACGAACACGGATATAGCGAATTTACGGATATAGCGAAGTCATATTGGATCCCCAGCTTTATAAATTTAATGAAAACGTTATAACGAATGGATATAGCGAAAATTTCATAGGTCCCTGTGACTTCGTTATAACCGAGTTTTACTGTATAGGTAAATAATGGTCAATTATAATTAAAAAAATATGATTAAAAAGTTGTCAGAACATGCAATTTAATGAAATAATACCTTTTAAATTAAAAAAAACTTTGAAAAATGTTTGGAAAAGGAATACATGTAAGAAATCATATTCATTTTTACTTTTAAATCTCTGATGCTAATAGTTTCCTCCTTGCAGGAAATACAGCCACTCTGTGTGGTCCAACCATCCACCAGATAATTGGCAATTCTGTTAAACTGGGGCTGAAAAAGGATGAATAAACATTACAAAAATTAAATATTTACCAGTTTGTCATGCTTCTTTTGAAACCTACTATATTCCATTGATAGTTTTACAGATGGTTTAAACCAATATTTGGTTGTCTACCTTTATGGGGCCATTTCCATGCAGCACGATTGGAGTGGTACCAGTTTTAACATTGTATGCAAAGCTGTGGTCACTCTTAAACTTGATAGTAACATCATCTAAAAGGAAAACAATCTCTATCAGTGTCAAAAAACTGAAGTTTGTAATTAGAGGTGAATTGAAGAAAAGAGCAAAGAAATTTTGTTTGGGATTGGGAACCACTCTTCATTACCTAAAGCTCCATTCAAGTTTTGGAAGAGATCTGATTTTACATCTAGCTTCATATTCCATTTTTTCTGAAATATAAATACCAGGTACTGTGATGAAGGTAAAAAAAGAAGTCCCCACTTGATTTGCACAAATCAACATAAATTTATGGGAATTGACTCTTCAAATATGCATATTTTGGGACAAACAGAAATTACAAAGTGTTTCTTTGGCAAGGTGTCTGAATGAACATTCAATTAATAAAAAAAATGTTCATGAGCTTGAAATAAGTGAGAAAATTAGTTGTATTACACAAACTGAATTATTATTAGCACCATGTACAATTACCCATTTCACCATTCATAAGGATGTAACATTCATTCATTAACATGTACATCCTATTTATAGATTTATTTACACACAGTAGCTGATGTAGTGGTCAGTTAACTGACCGGTGACTCACCCTCAGTGTCTTGTCCAGGAAGATGTTGGTGAAATACAGCTGGTCATCGTCTGTATCCTTAATGTCACGGTGGGTGATTATCTCATAGAGATCCTTGGCATAACCAATGTATCCTGTAAACACAGTATAATATTATATTAATTGCATATACCGGTATGTAAATATTCTGACATGCTGTACATGTATTTAACAAAATCAACTGCATTTTGTTACTTTTTTGGGGCAAACCTTAGAGCTATTAAAAATTCCTCTTCCATATAAATGAAAGACAATAGGAACCACAATTTTAAATGCTTTCAGTTTTCGGATTTTTGGTTGATTTTCATTTAATTACAAATTGCAATTCTCTGTTTGCAGCTTTAATATTAATAATTTTCATATAACATGAAACAATTGTAAAGTTTTCTTCCATACATTATGAAAAATATATTAAACATTTTGAGATAATTGATGCATTTTATACATGTATCTCACTGCTTGCATTAATCTGATACATTTTTAAAAATTATATACAGTGGACCTTCAGATATCCGGACGCCAGATATCCGAATGCTTCAGTATCCGGACGATTTTTCATCGGAACGGAATTTTTTAAATGTTATTTTGTCTTGTTTAATTGGTGATTCAGATATCCGGATGCTTTGCATATCCGGACAAATTGACTGGGAACCAAAGGGTCTAGATAAATGAGGCTCCACTGTATCAATACTCACCTCCTGAATTCAGATAGCGTTTTTCATTTTCCTTCACATCAGGATATGAGTTCTGAAAAAAAAAAAATTGTTATATTTCATCTTTGTTCAATGAAATTTTGTGAAACAATCAGAGATTCCTCAACAGACAGACATACAGCTAAGGATGGGTCCGGCCAGCAGAATCCCTCGGCAGAAAATACAACCCGGGCATTAAATTTCTTGAACTTCTCCAAAATTTCTTTCTTCCCAGCAGTAAGGACAACATCATAGCTAAAAATAAAATCTTTCTTTGACTCGCAGCTGTTGTTCAGCTAAACTAATAATACTTGTAAAACTAATGCAGTGTGTTACCAAAGTGTGTAAAACATATGCTATTTTCAGCTATAAAATATGTAGACATACATGTACCTAATGTATAAATAACATTCAATGCAAATTATTTCATTCAATACACATTATTTGTCACACTTCGAAAAGGCATATTTATGATTACAGATATCAGATATGTACACACATTGCAAATATCAAAATAATGATTATGAATAAACTAGACATCATTTTATTTCAGTGGAATAACTCAGCACTCGAGCTCACCTGTCTGTAAACATAAGAATGAGGTCATCTCGGTCCTTGTACTTCTCCAGTTCTTTTCTTAGAATATTGACCTTATGACCCCCTCCAGCGTGATTGGCTACATCCCCACCCCTCCAATCCTGTCCCATCCCAAAAACCTGAAGAAATAAAGGAATTGACTCATTTATGATTTTAAAGGATAGATAGCAGTAACCTTCAGCGGTGTCATCAACTTTGCTTTTAGTGTAATGGGAATAACAAAGACTTGTTTCACTAATTACTGTATACAGGGAAATTTTCGTAGACAATATACAATGCATTCACATATTTCAATCAAAAAACGGGGCAAAATTGTAATTGAAAGGGCGAAAATAATATTTAATATTCCATCACATTCACATATCAGTGAAACTGTAATTATAATATTTAACATCTCACATAATATAAGATGGATAAGCATGATAAGTACCTCCACATCCAAACCATATTTATTTGTTGATCTCAGATATCTTCTAAGTCCATCAGTAACATCTGTAGCTATTGTGATCAGCTTCAGTTCTGTTGAATATAAATAACAACAGTGTAAACACCAGAATAAGTAGAATCTAAAAGTACTCTGCTTTGTCTGATTTGATAACAATTTAACTATGAACATAATACAAGATTGTTATAAATGTCATCTAGTAGCAGCAATATCTCTGATCTGAGCTCAGGATCGTGCCGAATGTAAAAACAGTGCACACTTATTTCTTTGACAATTAGGTATACAGTCAGTTTTCCTGAAGTTGAGTTGAAGACATGGGAAACTTTTGCCTGAAGCAGTAGTTTCCAAGACTTTTTCAGTGTTGTTGGACTGCTAGCATTTTGACTCAACCCCAAGTAACCATGAATATTACGTGTTTCATTGTAAGTAGTACACCTAGTATTACAAATTATGTTGTTGGTTTAATAATATATTTTCATTATAATCAACATCACGGTGTTCAGCATAAAATTGTAGACAAAGAGTTTACTTCATAAAATAAAACATCTCTGTTCTTGAGTATTCATTTCAACTCCTTAGAATGAATGAAGTTAATTGTTCTGAATCAGCTCATATATTAATAATTAAATAGATCTAACTCTTACACACATTTTTGATAAAAAAAATTCTAATATAAGGAACTCAAAATACAAAATTAACATTCAACAAAGAGGCTAAATTGTATATAATTTTTTAAAATAAGATTTCATCAAACATAAAACTAAAATCTGCCTTTCTTTCCACTGTCTTTAAGAAGAACAGGTAAATTCAAAATACGCGAACAATGCATTATGTCACGTAGACCATTATTCTCACCGTTATCTTCCAAGGAAGCCACAGAATAAGAACCCAAGATCAAGATAAGCGCGTTGATAAACAAACAGATTTTCTTCAAATATTCCATGTTAAAACGTATCGATGTATTCCTTTTTTATTTCCTTTCTAATTCATTGTACATATCTTCAATCCAACCCGGTTCCTAGGAGTCGATGATGTGGCAACCCACTAGCTTCACCAGCAATGTAACCTGACACCACACTCCACAGCCGAATATTCCAACTTCAACTTTGACCCACATGTGCATTTGTTTGGAATCCGAAAGTTCGTTCGGAAGTACTCTAGGGTTTGCATTGGATTTAAAGTATTAGAGGAGTACCGAGAGACGATTGCTACATAAAAATCAAATGGTCTTTGTGTCTGATCCGGAAATATGTAATACAAGTTGGAATGTTGCATAGTTGTTCCTGTTACAAGAATATTTAATAACAATAAACTATGTAACCCCTTATGTTAATTTACACAATATCCTGATTGTAAAATGATTTCATCTGACAAATAGTACGGAAGAGCGTGACTCCAAGATTGGAATATACATTGAGGGGAGGGGATGGGCCCCGGGGCTTTGGGATGTCTGATGTGTTATAAATCAGTCAGCACAACTTCAGGATATAAAGCATGAAAAATTTGTTTCAAATAGCAATTTGAACAGAATTTTCTAGAGGATACTTGAAAAATATTTTTCTTCAAATCTTTTATGCCCATATATATAACCAAACTGACCTGGGTACGGGTGGGGGGGTTACCCCTCCCCCTTCCCTTCAATGTAATCTGACGAGACAAAAAAAAAACTCATTAAATTTCCATTCTGGTTTTTGCCAATAAGAATATTTGTACTATAGCAAAACACTATACTCAGAAAAAAGTGGGGGGGCTACAAACCCCTGCTTTTTTCTGATTTTGAATCCTAGAACAATTTAACACGATTTTGGAAGTCTGGCAAAATTTGGTTTAAAAGAAATTGGATCAAAGCTTTATAGAAGTTAGTCAGTTAATTTTCTGCAATAAAAGTTGACTAGGAAATGCTTTTGCTTATAAATAAAGAAGCCAAATTAGTTCCCATCGGAATCCCACTGCTTGTAGGAAGACCTGCTCTAGCTCCGCAGAGAACCTTTTTCATATTGTATACCATTTGAATTTCATACAACATTATATCAGTTTTATAAAAGACAGAAATTATTAAGTGATTATTAATTCGGAAATATTCACGATATGAGATGTACACATGTCATTAGGCCCGAATAAGAAAGGGGTATGAGAGCTCTGTGGAGCTCGGTAGTTTCATTACCTTGGCAATAGGTGAAATGGTTATTTTTTGTACGTCGTCTACAATGGTTTTTAGTATCTTCACCTACATTTCCGCTGCATGAATCATCCACTAGAAATTAAAAAAAAAACTACAAATAAAGTTTTACATGGAAATCTTTATGTGCACTGCGTAATTTCAGTTTCATGCATCTCAATTATGATTGGCCATATCTTAATTCTAAACGGACATTTGTATCCCATAAAAGTTTACAAAATAAATACACATGTAACTTGTAAAAGATGTGGAGTTTACGTCACTCTTTATGCCAATGGTTTTTAGAATGAAGTAGTTTTAGAAATGATCTGTCACATCTTGCAATGATATAGCACAAGTTTCTGACAATATATATTGTGCATCCTGCATGCTCATCTTCGAGCAGGTTTAGATCTGTGAAGTCTTTGAACAGATATCACGCAGTACTGTTCATAAAAAACTTTATCATCTCTTGTAATGTGCCAGTTTGACATAGTAAGAGTTTTATGGAACAATATTTCTTTAAGACCAATAGTTTTATAATTTCTTTTAAACCAATGGTTTTATAATGTAGACTAGTACATGTATATATATATATATCGACAAATAATGATATATCAATATGAATATTCTGTTCCTACTGCTAGAAACAAAGTATATAGTCAGTACAAAAGTCCACAGCAAGTTTTTAAAATGGTTTGTACTCTGTCACCAAATACAAACTTTAATTTTTAAACTTTAAATCCTTAGTATAAAAAACCTACCTGTACTCACTATATAAAAACATGGTAGAATATATATAAATGAAAGAAAATAAACTAAAACCAAAGCCATTTTTATATATCATGAATTTCCTTCTACGGATTAAGCTTGTGATCAATTTTGCTTAATCAAGTACGACTTTACAAGACAACTTATCCAGCAAAATGTACAATTACATCAAAAACTTACATGAAGTAGACACGAGAGCACATATATCGATCGAAATATCTTTGAAAATAGATAAAACAATAATGCAATATTCTAGTCAAAGGCCTTCATTATCCTTTTAATTTAATATATCTGTGTATGAAAATAACTCCCCCCCCCCCCCATCCACCCAAAAAATGTCATTCGGATTAAAACAATATGAAGGCCAGTGCTTCTGGTTCATCAGTCCCCTCTCACGTTGGCGTCGAAAGCAAAAATTGAAAGTGGGGGTCGGGGCTAAGTGTAAGAGAATTTTATTTTTAGACCTACGAAAAAAAACCCCTGAAAAGCCCCCCCCCCAGGAAAACACGTGTATATCCAATGTCTAAACACGAAAATCCTATTTTTTGGGGTGGATGGTGTAGGTTCGAACTTCTTTCAGTACCGTTTTTTTCCAAACACTACCACTTTCCCCAATTTTAAGCAATACTGCGACATGTCTGTGGAAAGTGGTAAGGTCAAACTCCAAGTTCAAGGTCAAAGGGTCAAATATGTTGGTACCCAAAGAAAGGCCTTATCATTAGGAAAACATGTGAAATTTGAAAACCATATATACCTCCAACCATTCAAAAGAGATAGGCTAGGTTTAATTTTTTTTTAAAAGACAAACAGACAGACAGATGTACAGCTAGACAGATACACAGACAAACGGACTGACATGGCAAAAACTATATACCCTCGATTTTTCGATTACGATGGTATAAAAACTTGGCATAAATGAGCTAAACATAATTTCACAGTTGATAAACTACATGCAAGTTTATCGACTGCATGTAGACTATAGTTTACAAACCGTGAACTTATAAAAGTTAACATTTGTTTTTACCCTATATAAACGGAAATATAGACATTCATACAGTTTATCTGTCTGTAATAAAAAGTTAACAATAGATTTTGTTGATAAAGATAGATTAGCGTCTGTAAACTATTTTCAATCGTGATATAGAAATAAGAAGTTTCACAAATGTGAAACTGTTTTGCAATGATAGCATAAAGCCTTTTAAACGCAAATGATTGTTTTCAGTGTTAAGTATAGTTTACGGTTGTGAAACATAGATTATCGCGTTAACTATGGTTTACAGTATAAAATATAGATTAACGTTTCTAACTATAGCTGACAGTAAAATATATTTGTTGATCAAAATGCAATAAAAAATATTTAGCTCATTTTTGTGAATTTGGCGTGCCTTTTCGTGGCAAAAAGTATTGGAGATTACCAGAGAATTTTTTTATATAATATGAAAAAGTTGACATCTTTAAAAAAAAAGAGATAAAAGTTAAAGTTGCCCAAACTTGAAAATCCTATTTCGTGGGGTGGGGGGGGGGGGGGGAGAACTTTTTCAAAGCCAAGTTACTTTCACTTCCAATTTCTTTCCTACAATTCCTTGATGTCACTATACTATGGTAAAAAGTGGGGGGGGCCAACCATCCTTTCAATGAACATTTCCTATAGAAAAGGTAATGTTGGTGGAAAAAGTGGGGGGTTCAGGCCCCCCTGCAGCTTCGTCCCTGCGTGCCATACATACGGTATACCTGCTTTCTAAAATAGATGGTCACTTAAAGTTTTAAACTGTTAAAGGTCGATATTCGACCTACTTTGGACACCTACAGTGGGATTCGAACCCGCGATGTAAGGATCAACTCCTTAATTAACTAGTTCAAGCAGACGCTCATACCACTGCGCCACACGGGCGACCAAGTGATGCTTGACAAAGAACGGCAACTCAGGCTGAGAGAGTTGTTTCTTACGATATTGAGGTTTGAAAAAAATCAAATTAAATGTACTTTAATTGTTTTCCCCGGCTTTTAGATTACCATTACAGACATCCCCAATATTTTAAAGTTGGTCCTTTAAAAAAAAAAAAACCTTCGGTAACGAGGAGGGGGATTTTTTCTAAAACAAAAAAATTCTTGTTTTTGATTATTTCAAACACTAAAATAAAATTTTAGTCGTAAATTAAATTGTTACAAATATTTTAGAACATTGTCAAGACCATTTCCGTCAATGTTTTTTTTAAATAATGCAGATTCCGGATATTTCACTTGTTTTCAATTTGTAAATTAGAATTATATACTCTTTTTTAAAGGAGGTAAAAAGATACACTTCCGGTCGATCGTTTGGAATCGTTTGGTAAGACTAAGACGTTGATTTTCATTCAAGCACTTTTGGCATTAAATGAATTCTTATTCTTTGTTTTCAGAGCTGTAATCCTATGCACCGATGTCTTTTCTTTTCAATAGTTAAATCGGGAGGTGCCACAAACAACACAATATATTCAGCAACTTCTAAGACTACTTTGTTCAGCAAACATGCAGATGGCTGTATAAATCCTTCTGAACGATTTAACAGAACATTGTTAATAAAAAAATATGTTTTACGATGTGCCCGTTGGGACAAGATTTATTTGTATAATCGGAACTTTTTACATAGCTTACACATGTCACTGAGATCTACCTGTTCTATTCGTTTAATAGTTAGAAAAATCTAACTTTGTCTTGGGACAAGCTCTCACAACAGTTAGAATACCTCCCATATACTGGCAATGTAGCAAATAATAACGATTTTGAAGAATACAAAAGGATTTACTCTGGAAATAACTTCAAAATTAATCATAACAAACCTTTTCGAAGTTGCGTATGCCTTTAAACCTAAAATAAAATTCAAATAAAGACAAAAATTCAACTAATTTTCTCAAAGTTTTGTTCTTGCTTCAAATTTACACGCCATGTTTGCATTCGGAATTCTCTGGATTGTTCATAGTAAATGCACAGAGTACGAGTTATAGCCTGTGTTTCTTTTGATACATTGCGAATACACGGATCAAATTCTAATATGTTGACGGTGCGACCGTTAGAGCGAGCGCAAACTCTTCTATTGTTTTAATTTAGATCGGGCTCGTCAAACCGCACATGACATTTGGTGCGTCTAGACTCTGACGTCACATGACGTCGTATGTAAATTACATATACCAAGAAAAAACTGAACAGTGCTGAAAGTTAATGAAAAAAGTTACGTTTACTATTTATCTTCAATATTTATCCATTTAATCAAGGCGAGTAAACTTTTTGTTGAACATTTGCCGTCATTCTCGCGAGAACGCAACTTTACTAAGTGATGCATTGTGGGTCAAAATTACTGCAGCAAAAAATTCTAAAGAATGAATGTGCAGTAGTCCGAATTTTCTCTTCGCCCAGGCGTTGTCGTTAGAGCTCGCAGTTACGAGCGTCGCTTTGCGACGCTCGCTGCGCTCGCTATCATTAAACTGGGTCCTTAGGACATTTATCATTTTAACGATAGAACGCTCTATCTATTCATTTAAATACTCTCCCTCAACTTCTCTACAATAAGCCTAATAAGTTATGGCAGCGCAGAAATAAACTAAATCAAGAAACAAACTGGGCTCCACTAAGAGCATTGTTTTACAGTTTTAGATCAGATGCGAAATCATAGTAGTTTTGATGCAAGAAATGTGAATAAAATACCCATATTTTGTTCATCAGTTTATACTGAAAGGATTTAATTATCATATGGGGCATTTTTATAAATGTTACTAAACCTATGTGTATTTTAATAAATTTGTTGTTTATTCCTGTTGATTATGGAATCTGGTTATTACTTTTTTTGTTTATTTCAGGTATTATGTCAGACAGTTATGATGATAGCAGAAGCCCATTTGAACATGGAGAAATACCCCCCAGTCCTGACATGGATGTGGTAGAGAACATACAAATTTCCTTCTCTGTGGCTGCAAAAGAAAGGATAGGAATTGATGAGGAAGAGGAGGAGGATGAAAATGAAGAAACTTCTCAGAATGAAGAAGACGATGGGTAAATTATCATTTTCCTACAAATTAATTACCTTGGGCCCATTTTGCAAAAGAACTTAAGAAGATATTGAACATAATTTAATTTTAATTCCGTTTACTCTAAGAACACTCTTCTGTTCACTCTAAGAACAGTTTAACCTACATAATATTGAAAATGGTTTTAATCTTTTTTGAAAGGAGGTAATAAGATATTTTTATGCTGAAAATCTCAAACAGAATCATTAATTTTGCAAAATTTTATAATCAATTTAAGTTTTTGGTCTTAATCATATGTTCTTCTGTAACACGAGCCCCAGTATTTATAAGAAAATATGATGAAGTGATTTTCGGGTTGATATGTTTTGTTTTTAACTTTTAACAAAAAATTTAAAAAAATAATACCAATTTGGTTCTTAGTGATGAGCATTTTGAAGAGGATGATGGTATAAATATTAAGCCACCACAAAACCAAGCAGGCCGCAAAGAGAAAAGTCACAAGCACAGGCATAAAGAAGATAAAAGGAGGGACAGGGAACATAGAGCATATGACAGACATAAAGACCGGGGCAGGGAACCAAAGGAAGGTGGGCGAGGCAGAGAAGTAAAGGATGTAAGAGGTAAATATCAAACAGAATACACAAAGTATAAGAGTTTACAAAGAAATGTGTAGTATACAATCACAAGTGTCATGTGCAATATGAGGCATAATTAATACTGTTGGTTGTCGGCACTTGCGAAATTCACAAGATCATCAAGCCATTGTGTATTATACAAATAGCAATGATTTTTTTTGACAAAATGCAAGATCCAAAACTGTAACCATTTATTTACAGTTAGTTTGGCATGGAAAATTTTGGACCAATAGTCATGAAACATCTAATAGTTAATCATGTTTCTGTTTTAAAAAAAAATTAGAAATAGGTTTCAAGAAATCTGTTTATTGGAGAAACTTTTTGATAGTTACAGGAATTGAGGAAATTTTTGATTAAATAAGTTTTGAACAATTCCTACCATTTGAAATCAATGATTTTCAAAGAAATCTGAATATTCTCACTAACAAAGACTGCTACTCATGAGTCTGCAGGCATACAACATTTTCTCTCTTGTTTATATAAAATAAAAAAAATGATCGGTTTCAATTATATGAATAATGATAAGAATTATATGGCTAATGAATTGAGTTTACTTTTAGCTGTAGGGAGGTCTCACGAAGAGCGGGCACATCACAGTGAGAAGACAAAGTCTCGAGAAGTGAGGGAGGTTCACAGGGAGGAGAAGAGGGATAGAGAGAAGGAAAGACGTGTCAATGTTCAAAAAGAGATAGAAAAACGAGAAAAATCTCAGAGGGAAAGGTATGCAAAAAATGACAATGGTTCGTTTAATATAGTGCATACTATTAAACAAGAAGGATAGTAATAGTAGACCATGTAAACAAACAAAAAGGAATAGTGTAATATAGAGAAGAAAATTTGCTATGTATTTATGTCTCTATTATAATTTAATTGATCAGTGCTCCTATAAAACTTTTTTTTCATTGATAGAACTTGCTGTAGTTAAAGCAATGCATAAAAAATAATATATAAGTACACGATACAGTGGACCTTCAGATATCCGGACGCCAGATATCCGGATGCTTCAGTATCCGGACGATTTTCATTGGAACAGAATTTTTTAATGTTATTTTGTCTTATTTAACTAGTAATTCAGATATCCGGACACTTCACATATCCGGACAAGTTGACTAGGAACCAAAGCGTCCGGATAAATGAGGCTCCACTGTATTCTGATTCATGTGCATACATTTTTCATGCAATGAAACCTGCTTAAGGATAAAGTCTGAATTTATTTATTTTGATTAAAACAATATTTAAAATTAGGAAAAGTGCTTGTTATGCTAGATTAGATTTCCAATTCATTTTCATGCATTGAATGTCACAATTTCAGAGAAAGATTAGAGAGAATTGAGAGGGAGAGGGAGAGAGAGAAAAGGATAAGAGAGGATAGAGAAAGGAGAGAAGAAGAAAGAGAGAGAAAAGAACTAGAAAGAAGAAAAAGACGGGAAGAGGAAAAATATATGGCTGCTCAACAGAGAATGGAAGGTACACCTTCTTTTATAATTTTGTAAATTGGAGAAAAATATACCAGGAAAAATGAAGGAAAAGCTAACCTTTATGTAATAGATGTAGAATTTTTTCACTGTTTCGAAACGATAATGCTTAATATATTTTTTTTAAAAAGATGTATATCGACGTGATAAAGAGAGGAAAATGGGGAAACAGGCACATGGACATGTTGAGGGCAGAAGTAGAAGTAGAGAAAGACATCGACACCGAGAGAGAGAAGAGGAAAGGCCAAGGACAAAGAAACGTTCACCTGAAGCTCGTAAGAAATTAGTTTGCCATAAATTCAGTCATAAGATGATACACCTTTTCTTTTTTGACTTAAAAGTGAAAGAAAAAAGGATATAGAAATTACTGTGAAGGTAACTCTTCAGTATTGTGGTACATGTACTTGTTTATTGATATCAGACAAAAATTATGCCAGTCAGTGGAAATCTTAAGAGAATTTTATGTAATTGTAAATTTATGAATAATAAAAAAGGCAGGATAGACACTAGACAGCATTCTTGTTTTAAACAACCAAATCCTGTTTATGTGGAACATGGCAGGGCTGTCAAAAACTTCAAGAGAACTGAGATTTGTGTATCAAAGCAGACATTTTTTGTAGCAAGGTGAATAAGCTGACCGCTTTTGACATTTTCATGATGCTTGACATTCATTGTTGGAGCAAGCTGTAATAATCTGAACTTCTTTTTGAACAGCTCGCCGACCCCAGACTCCCTCCTCCCCTGAACCTGAACCAGAACATGAGGAAGTAGAGGAGTCTCCAGAGAGTCCTGATCCAGAACACGCTGAGCAGCACGAAAGTGGTGGATCCGACAGTGGCGAATCAGCATCTGACTCAGGTAGGTTTATATTATTGAGACTTAAACAACATATACATGTATACATGTAGGATAAGTAAAGAGGAGGGGGAGAAAATCTCTTTTGTGCAGCCTGTCAAAGAATGATAGAGTTTTATAATTGAAAATCTTTCTTTGCATTAAGATTAATTTAAGAGTCTGTGTAAATGGTATACTGTAAACCAACTTCTATTTGCGACGACTTTATTTTGCGATTTACAGGGTATAAATTAGTTTGCGATGAATAATTTTTGCAATTGATATTTTTGATCTGTTGTTAATAGGCACATAGATTTTAAGTGCTGGTTCACAGCGAGAAATAATTCGCAATGGCGACGCTCTCGCAAACATCGCAAAAATTTCTCGCACACAAATAAAAGTTGGTTTACAGTAATATCTGGACAAAAAGTATTTTTATTTTGGAATAGGGTCTGACAGTGATAGCAGCAGTGGAAGTGAGAGTGAGGATCATGAGGATAAAGAAAGGAGCCCAGACGACAAGGAGTCCTTGAGTAAATGCTTTAAAAGAAACTAGTCTTTTATGTACATCAAGAACGTATCAAAATGTCAAAGCTATTTCAGAGAGCAGAAAATATACATTTAATAATTTAGATATTATCTGAAAACATATGGGAACATCCATATTACATCATTGCTATTTTTTAAATTTTTTTAAGGCAAAGTGAAGTCAAAGTTTGATGATCACTCTGATCATGAGAGTGGTACAGACACAGCGCGAAACTCGGAGCAGGAAGATGAGGATATCTACATGGATGAGACACCCCCTGCCTCCCCCATGGAGCTCCGCCCAGAACTCCCTCCCTACCTACCAGCTATACAGGGCTGTAGAAATGTGGAGGAGTTCTCATGTCTCAACAGAATAGAGGAGGGAACATATGGAGTGGTGTACCGAGCTAAGGACAAGAAAACAGGTGGGAAAAGCTAGAGAAATTCATGGTGAATGCTTTTTGTTGTTAGGAAAAGTAGAAATTCACAACATTATTTAAGAGGGTTAAAATTTCAACCCCCCAAAAATGGAATAAATTCAGTAAGTCATCCAACTTTTGCAGACTTTTCCCCAAGATTTTATCAATTTTTCCAAAGTTCTCTCAATTTTTTTTTTAAATTAAATTGTATATGAGTATGAATCAAAAGATAGCATCACTTAATTTACTAGCAATCTTTAAAACATAATTGTAAACACCTGCAAAAATGAAAAAAAAACAAAAAAAAACAATTTTTTGTACAATGTATGTATAGTTTACAATTTCTTTGGTATATTTAGATGAAATAGTGGCATTAAAAAGATTAAAGATGGAGAAAGAGAAAGAAGGATTCCCTATTACCTCCCTTAGAGAAATTAACACTCTCCTTAAATCTCAGCACATGAACATTGTAACAGTCAGAGTAAGTATCAATGAAATATTATGGTACATGTATTTATATTATGTTTTAGTGGATGGAAAGAAGGTGGCTGTTTTCATGAATCAGTGCAATGCTTAAATTTTGAAAAAGACACATTTTTTTCAGGAAATCGTTGTAGGCAGTAATATGGACAAGATCTATATTGTAATGGACTATGTAGAACATGATATGAAAAGTCTGATGGAAACAATGAAGCAACCATTCCTTATGGGTAAGTTAGTTTCTTTGTTTCACTTATTAGCCATGTGACAAACAAAACTGTAGAGTATAAGTGAAAATTTTAGCAAGGTGCAAATAAAGCGATTTGTCCTTAAATCCTGGTAATTAATTTTCAGCGAGATGTTATTTTAGCGATTTTAAAATGCACATTAAAGAACCTATTACAAATAAAACACAATTAATTTTTAGCGATATTCAATTTTTTCAATCTCGGCAACCTCGCTAATAATGCCAAAATTATATCCTCGCTAAAATTTCTACTTAAACAGTATTTCCAATTCATTATCAAAATTATTTAGTTTATTTTATGTCCCCATCATTAATGACATAAGCATAAAGTGTAACTGTAAATACTGATGAAAAAGAAAAAAGAGAAATTTATACTTTTTATGCGCCTGGATCGATAGATCTGAGGCTTATTATGTTTTTGTCCTGTCTGTTTCTCTGTCTGTTGTCAACTTAAACCTTAAACATAACTTTTGAACCATAAGAGATAGATATTTCATATTTGGTATGCATACTCTTATTATTATTGTCGTTATGGGTATTTCCTGTGTGAACAGAGTGGTGGATCTGTGTGGTTTTTATGTCACGTGACATGGTCATATAAATAGCAGGTGCGTGCTTTAAAAGTTATTCTACCGCTCGTACAGAACGTTGTAAGGAATGGAAACCAGTACAGCGAGTTCAGATGTGCACTATTCTGAAGAAGTTTTATTGGGCTAGTCTAGTACTAGTGAACAATTGTCTAACGAGGATGCAGCATCTTTATTTAATAGTTCATTGAGAAAAGCTTTGCAACAGCAGAATGAGGTCATTGTGAGTTCTATTGTGAAGCAAATTAACAGTAAACCTAATAATCCCGCCACGAATACCGGGCACGAGGATAGCGCACGGGAGGATACTAAACATAACTCATTCGATTTCAAACACGAGGGACATCGCATTCAGCATACCTTTAATACAGAGAGAATAGAGAAGTTGATTGAAACAAAAAACTTTATAGAGAAGAAAGATTTGGAGAATGCGGCACTGACAATTGAGAAAGAAATCGGCGAGTTGCGACAACGAAACAAGATTCTAAAAATAGCAGACAGGCACGGGTGGGATACTGTCAACGAATATTTAGACGATCCATTAGCAGACAACAATGACGACGCTGTTAAGTTACGGGGCGCTGTTAGCCGTGCTGTTCGTAAGCGTAATTACAGAGGGAAGCCATATACATATCCCATGCAAAACCGTAGACAGAATGCATTTGCTGCCAACGACTTTTTTCGCACTTTCGGCCAAACGTTTGCTACAGGGGGGTACAAGCAATTCGCCAAACCAATCGAATACGGTGCAGGTCAACAGAACTTTGAACGGAAGTGCTTTTTCTGCAGACAGGTCGGACATTACGTCAGGGACTGCCCATTTGCCAGAGGACAACAAGTTCCAGTGTCAGCTTCCACGGTCGCATCGGCCTCTAGCAACAACGCCAACAAGCAGTAGTAGAGAACAAGTTGAGTATAGTGAAAATGAAGGCTGTATGGGTGATTCTTATGAATATGAGTTAAACACGTGTTCGAAGATTTCAGTAAAGTTTCGGTTAAAAAATTGTTTACAATTTTGGAAGAGTGAATTGTCTTCAAACATATTTGTTAAAAATACTATTCAGTTTGGTTATGTAATTCCATTTATTCAATTGCCGCCTAAGGTCGTTTTAAAAAATAATAAGTCGGCTCATATTCACAGTGATTTTGTTTGTACAGCCATCAATGATCTTTTAAATTCTGGTTGTATTCACGAAATATCTGAAGAAAAAATACATGTTGTTAATCCACTTACTGTTTCAGTGAACAGCACAGGTAAGAAAAGGTTGGTGTTAGATCTTCGACATGTAAATCAATTTGTAGAAAAACAAAAGGTGAAGTTTGAAGGGGTGAGTGAGGATTTACAATATGCAAAACAGGGAATGCACATGATTAAGTTTGATTTAAAATCAGGTTATCACCATATTGATATACATCCAGATTTTCACAAATATTTAGGTTTTTCTTGGAAATATGGTGACAAATTCAGATTTTTCGAATTTAATGTGTTACCTTTTGGTTTATCTTCAGCAGGGCATGTTTTTACAAAGTAGTGAGAGTTTTAGTGAAATATTGGAGATCATGTGGTATACCTGTGGTAGTATACTTGGACGATGGTTGGGTTTGTGATACGTACGAGAAGTGCAGTGCAAGACATGCATCAGACATAATACAAGACACGTTACAGAGATCAGGTTTTGTTATAAATACTGAGAAGTCAGTACTTGAGCCTACTCAGAGTATGGTGTGGTTAGGGTTTTTGTGGAATTTGAAAAGCGGGACGCTAGAAGTTCCTTTGGAAAAAATTAGTAATATTAAATCTTTATTAAAAGAACTTTTAGAGAATAAAAACAATATTTCGGCGAGAAAATTATCTTCTGTTGTGGGAAAAATTATCGCATTAAAACCATCTTTGGGAAATATATGTCAGTTAATGACTAGACATCTCAGTATTACAATTTGCTCTAAAACTGGCTGGGATGAAATTTTGTATATAGACAATGGGAATATTCAAGAGTTGGAATTTTGGCATTACAATATCAGTAAGCTCCCTTGCAAATATTTTACATGTATTGATAAGACACCAGAGAAAATTATTTTTCGGATGCAAGTTCTCATGCAGGCGCAGGGTTTACATGTGAAAGGAATAAGAAAATAGTTCATTACATGTGGGATCAGTGTGAAAAAAGTAAAAGTTCAACTTGGAGAGAATTAAAGTCAGTACAAATAATTTTAACAAGTCTGGCAGATGTGTTGAGTGGAAGGTTTGTGAAAATATTTACAGATAATCAAAATGTCGTGCGCATCGCATGTAAAGGTAGTATGGTTGACGAGCTGCATCAGCTGGCATTGAGTATATTTGGTGTCTGTGTGCAATACAGTATTTTACTTGAAGTACAGTGGATACCAAGAGAATTCAACATGGATGCAGATAGTTACAGTCGTATGTTTGACAGTGATGATTGGAGTGTGTCTGAACACATTTTCCGATATTTTGATAGAATATGGGGTCCTTTTACAATTGATCTTTTTGCAAATTGTAAGAATAACAAAGTTAAAAGGTTTTATTCGAAATATTGGAATCCAGGCACTACAGGAGTTGACGCTTTCGCTTATGATTGGTCAGGTGAAAATTGTTGGATAGTACCTCCTCCTTTCCTTATAGGCAAAGTGATAAAACATTTGCGTTTGTGTAATGCATATGGAACTTTAATCATTCCTAAATGGTTGTCTGCTTTATTTTGGCCAATGATATGGGATAAAAGTACAACATCTTACAAATCTTATATAAAAGAATATGTTGAATATAAGAACCCAAGAAAATTTTTTATGTCAGGATCAGACAAGTCGAGTATATTTGCTCAAGATATGTTTTTGAGCAACGTTTTGGTTGTTAGAATTGATTTCAGAAAAATATAATAATAGCAGTTTAAATATGTAAGTGTGTGTGTTGTTATATTTTTGCTGTTTATTCACAGATTTTTAATGATACTTGGGCGGAAATTAAAGACATGTCAACGAAAGAGCAGTTTAAATCGGCAGATTCCTCAATATTCCACATCATGAAAAGTGCAAAAAGTAAAAACACAGTCAAGCAGTATGAAACGTATTTCAAGAAATTTACGCAGTGGTGTATTTCCAAAGATGTCGCAAGTTTTCCCGCAAAATCTAGTGTGATTGCCATTTTCTTAAGTGGATTAATTCAACAAGGAGTTTCTGAAGCAGTTCTGTGTTCATTTTTCTATAGTATAAAGTGGTATCATGATCTTCATTGTGCGTTTTCTAATCCTTGTGACGACAGTGTTATTCATAGTTTAATGGAGGGGGGGAAACGAATTTTATCAAAGCCCATAAAGAAGAAGGAACCAATTTCGCCAGATGTGTTAGAGAAGATTATAAATGTATATGGGGAACGGGAGCAAAATTGTGATTTACGAAGTGTGAGAACAGTGGCTATGTTGTTGTTGAGTTTCGCAGGTTTTTTGCGATTTAGTGAATTATCTAATATTAAAGTGAAAAATATAATTTTCAAGAATTTATACATGAATGTTTGCATCGAATCCAGCAAAACTGACGTATACAGGCGTGGTAACGAAGTGACATTGGCAGAGGCAGGAGGGAAGCTGTGTCCTGTATCTTGGATTAAGCATTATTTAAATCTAGCTGAAATTCAGGATAAACCAGAGGAATATGTATTCAGAGCAATTAGATTTTACAAGTCATGTGGAAAATATATGTTGTGCGGTATTAACAAGCCGATTTCATATACAAGAGCCCGAGAGTTATTGTTAGAAGCTTTGGAAAAAGTGGGAATAGATTCAAAAGGCTTTGGTTTGCACAGTCTGCGAAGTGGAGGGGCAACAACTGCAGCCGAGAAAAATGTGTCGGAGCGTCTGATCAAAATACATGGACGTTGGAAATCTGACTATTCCAGAGACAATTATATTAAGGATTGTATAGATAACAAATTGAAAGTGTCTAATAGTCTTTTCGTGTAAATATAAATGAATATATATTAATAAATATATATGCATATATATAGTGTGTGTGTAGACAGGTATTATTATTTTTTTTACAATTTTCTCTTTGATTGATCTACGTTCTGACGAGCAGCATTCCATACATATGAGTTGATTATTCTTTCAATACAGAATAAAGAGTATAATTAATTTATATTCGGACGAACGAAGTGAGGGAGAATATAATTATTATTATTGTCGTTATGGGTATTTCCTGTGTGAACAGAGTGGTGGATCTGTGTGGTTTTTATGTCACGTGACATGGTCATATAAATAGCAGGTGCGTGCTTTAAAAGTTATTCTACCGCTCGTACAGAACGTTGTAAGGAATGGAAACCAGTAAATTAGGCACACACACACATATATGTATGTATTTATCAATATTATTTAATGATTAAAAATAATGGGTGTTGAAATAAATACAAATGTGTTAGAATTGTAATAAACGTTCTGACGAGCAGCATTCCATACATATGAGTTGATTATTCTTTCAATACAGAATAAAGAGTATAATTAATTTATATTCGGACGAACGAAGTGAGGGAGAATATAACAATAATAAAGTTCTTTCAAGTGACACCAAGGTCAATTACCTTGTGACCTTGACTGTGACCTATATGCTAAAAATAGCTTTATTGAACTTTAACAATAACTTTTGAACCATGAGAGTTAGAGATTTCATATTTGGTATGCATACTCCACTAGTAAAGTTCTTTCAAATAACACCAAGGTCAATGACCTTGACTGTAACCTACCACGGTATATTGTAAAGATAGTTCTTTTGAACTTTGTTGCCGCCGGGCGCATAGTGTTTCACAAACACATCTTGTTTATTTTACAATACAGCTATATTTTACATAAACATTTAACATTACAGGTGAAGTGAAGACATTGATGATACAGCTGTTGAAAGGTGTGGCTCATCTCCATGACAACTGGATCATACACAGAGATCTCAAAACATCTAATCTTCTTCTCAGTCACAAAGGCATACTTAAGGTTTGTTACCAATTCTTACCCATTTAGTGGATAAATTGTATCATCAAGTCATTGTAAATTTTTGAAAAACGTGGAGAAAAATTTATTATTATTGTAATATTTCTTGTCTTTCAGATAGGAGACTTTGGACTTGCCAGGGAGTATGGCTCCCCTCTGAAGCACTACACCCCCATTGTAGTCACCCTCTGGTACAGGGCACCGGAGCTTCTACTGGGTATCAAGGTAAAACTTCATATACTTAAAGGTCAAATAAAGGTTGTAAAACTACACGTACTGAAAGGTCAAATCAAGGTTGTAAGATGAAAAATAATAAAAGAAAAAATAACACTATATATAGGTGAAATGGAATTGCAATAGTAAAGCGTCCGTCGTCCGTCCATCTGTCTAGCTTTCTGTCCGTCTGTCTGTCTGTAAACAATTTTTCAAAATGCTACTCCTCCTACAGTTTTGGTCTGATTTCGATATAACTTGGCACACAAGTAGACTACACTAAGATACATAATTCTTTGTATCGGTTTTTGATTTCGATGAACGGTGTTGCTGTGCTTAATAAAAATAGAAATTTCTGTGAGATTCTTTTAAAATGCTACTCCTCCTACAGCTTTGGTCTGATTTCAATTTAACTTGGCACACAAGTAGTTTACACTAAGATACATAATTATATATATCAGTTTTTGATTTTGATGAACGGTGTTGCCGTGGTTACTAAAAATAGAATTTTCTGTGAAATACATATAAAATGCTACTCCTCCTACAGTTTTGTTCTGATTTCAATTTAACTTGGCACACAAGTAGACTACACTAAGATACATAATTCTGTGTATTGGTTTTTGATTTTGATGAACGGTGTTGCTGTGGTTACTAAAAATAGAATTTTCTGTGAAATACATATAAAATGCTACTCCTCCTACAGTTTTGGTAAGATACATAATTCTTTATATCGGTTTTTGATTTCGATGAACGGTGTTGCTGTGGTTACTAAAAATAAAAATTTCTGTGAGATTCTTTTAAAATGCTACTCCTCCTACAGTTTTGGTCTGATTTCAATATGACTTAGCACACAAGTAGTCTACACTAAGATACATAATTCTGTATAAGGGTTTCTGATTTCGATGAAAGGTGTTGCCGTGGTTTCTAAAAAATAGAAATTTCTGTGAAATACATTTAAAATGGTACTCCTCCTACAGTTTTGGTCTGATTTCAATATGACTGGGCTCACAAGTAGACTACACTAAGATACATAATTCTATATATCAGTTTCTGATTTCGATGAATGGTGTTGCCATGGTTACTAAAAATAGAATTTTCTCTGAAATACTTTTAAAATGCTACTCCTCCTACAGTTTTCGTCTGATTTCAATTTAACTTGGCACACAAGTAGACTACACTAAGATACATAATTCTGCCTATCAGTTTTTAATTTCGATGAACAGTGTTGCCATGGTTACTAAAAATAGAAATTTCTGTGAACTTTCTCCTCCTAGTTCTGTAAACTTTTATTAAAAGCTACTCCTACAGTTGTAGTCTTATTGCAATCTTGCCACAAAAAGAGACTTAATCAATGATCATTATTCTATTTATTGCTTTTATAAAAGTTTTATGTCCCAACTGCAACTTTTCTCTTCCTTTATTATACATGTAAGTACAAACCAGTAGAGCTACAGTCTCGACAGAGACTTCTGGTTTTTTGTTGCTTTAGGAATATTCAACTGCCATAGACATGTGGAGTGTCGGATGTATATTTGCTGAATTCATGACGATGAAACCTCTCTGGCCAGGAAAATCTGAAATTGATGAACTTAACAGGATATTTAAGGTAATGAGATATACAGGTGATGTAAACTTGTCCGTCCAGTTATATTAGGTCACTCTACCAAGTGTAGATGCAAGACATGTCACATCACACTTATCACAATAGTTCAAAATGATGTAAGAATGATAAATGCTGAAATATTTATCTTTGAAGTATTTGTTAAGATTTTGACTATTTTGTTACCTGATTTCAGGACATGGGTACTCCTACAGAGAAAATCTGGAAAGGGGTCAAAGAATTACCAGGCATGAAGAAGTGCACCTTTGCTGAGCATCCCTATAACACACTCAGACAGAGGTTTGGCTCATATCTCACAGACCTGGGATTTGATCTCTTAATCAGGTATTTTATTAAAACATTAAAAGAAAACAATTTTGTTGCAGTTAGTAGGAGGGAATAATCATTGTTTGATATGACCAACTGAAAAAAACCAAAATGAGAGAAATGAATTGCTTTGTGATTTATTATCAAAGAGCTAATTCTAATAACTACCATTTTTCAGTTTTTAGTAAAATATTTAATTATATAATACATTTGATACAAGTACATGAATATGCAATTATTTTCAATGACAGGTTTCTGACATATGACCCTACCAAGAGAATTACTGCAGAGGATTCTCTGAAGTACAAGTTTTTCGAGGAGTCACCACTGCCAGTAGACCCCTCCATGTTCCCTACCTGGCCTGCCAAGAGTGAACAACCAAGAAAACACACAAGCTCTCCCAAACCCCCATCTGGTGGAAAGGCCTACTCTAAATTACTGGTAGGATTCAATACAGACATATGTGTCTTAGATATTTTTGTGGAGAGAATACTTTTATGGTTGTTTATTTTGATGTCACCCAAAGCTTTTGTTTCAGTAGCCTTTTTTGGCCTGAATTTAAATTGTTATAATGAAAAGAGGAAAAAATCTTTGATTTTTAGGGCCCTACATGAAGATATCGATGCCATGTAGTAATCATATATTGTATTTGTCAATCAGCATTTTTATATATTTTAGGATATCTTGAGAGTTACTTTCACTATATTTCAAATTTACTGAGACTGTTAAGAATTGTGAGAAAAAAAAAATTCACCTGGTCCAGGAACAAGGTCTAAATTTAAAAACATTTAATCCAGGCATCTTATTTGTCACATAGGTGAAGAATCATTAGAAGAAACAACCTTAAGATTCTGTCAGTTGATTGAAGGAAAATTTCAAAAGTTTGAATGGCAATGCAATAGCTTGAACATTTTCTTCACATGAACTGATCTGAACATATTTTTGAATGAATATACACTATTAGATTGGGCATACATTCTTCAAAGTAAAATAGCTCTCGCCTTGAATTTTAGGGCTCATTTTCTCTACTAGCTGTAACATATAATCTCTATATATTAATGGTATAGGAAAAAGCCTGGTTAATTTGAAATTGAATCAATTTGATAAAAAAAAATCATTATTTTAAATGGAAATCAAATACTATGTATTTCAGGGTGGAGATGATGACAAGATGATAGAGATGGATGCAGGTTTTCATCTGACTAATGCTGCCAAAGGAGTTTCTGCAACAGGACCAGGCTTTAGTCTCAAATTCTAGAACAATTATATCTTGACAAATCAGATGAATATGTAGGCCAAGAAAAAGTGACAAGTTATTTGTTACATATATGTAAACAGTACTTCATTTCAAATGGAAAAAAATAATATTTGATGTGGATGACATCTATTTTCAAACAGCAAAATGGTCATTTGACTGGTGGAAAATTGAGTGAAGAATCAATTCAATTGAATTTTTTTTAGAAAATGTTCTTTAATAATAAAAGACAGGAACACAAATCAAGAAGCCATTCTTTGTTGTTGTTGTTGTTGTGTAATCATTTGCTGAAAGAAATGAAAGAAATGAAAAGGTCAGAAAGTTGCAAGCTTCTGGAAGATATCTTTAGGGAATGCAAAAATTATTAGCCCATGGACACTGCCATTATATTCATATGGGAGGCGGGGGTATTATTTAGTGAGCTTATTGCACACAGTACCTCTAGTTTATCGTGGGGAATGGTTGTGCATAAAGTTGAAAAGTTGCAAATTTTTAAGCTGTTGATTTTGGTAAAATCTTGTGCTTTCAAATTGTCCAAAAGTTCCCCGGAATTTCGTAAAATAAGTATCCACATCTGATTTACACTGATTTACACCACTTCTCGAATATGTTGTTGCAAAGTGTTCTTGAAGTTTCTCCTTCACTACGGATAATTTCATCTTAGTGAGGAGTAAAGAAAGAGGCTTGGTTGAACATTTACTGGAACCCGCTATGTATTCTTGATTGTAAGGATTTGCATGAAGTTTCGGAATCCAATATATACTCACCGTCAATAGAAACGCAACACCCAAATTTAAGGGGTGAAAATTATATACGGGATTTTACTATGTACCAAAAAAGTTAGGAAATCTTTTACTTTGCCAAATCACTTATTTTACGGTTGAATGCTTTTCATTTCATTACCGGAAGTTGATTTTTTAGCTCCCTGAACAGAAATCAAAAATTAGCATTTTTAATAAAATTATTGACAATATTTTGGGTTTTCAAGGTTTTGTACCTGTTAATTATAAGTCTTGTACCCAAAGTCCGGAAAAAATATCCTTCTTTCTCTTCCGGATGTGATGCCTGTATTTCCTCAAATTAACTGAAAGCACGCATTTTCATTGCTAATGTTGGAAATTTTCAAAATAAAGAAAAGGGAGAGCTACAGATGCAAAAATACACTACATAACGACTTTTCGGGCTCATGTGTTTCAAAAGCATGAATGACAGTTCCTTGACCGGAAGTCCAAGGGTTACTACACTACGCCAAGTTAGAGAAAATTCGACTTCAGTATCTGAAAAACAAGCATTTAAAAAAGGACAAGAATATTTATTTCGCCCAGATTAAGACATTGATAAACTTACTGCATGGTAGAATTTGGGCTGCTTATGTTGTACAAGGCTGACTAGCACGTTTTAATTGAATGGTCGGAAGGGGGGATGTTTTAAAAGTTATGTGTTGCTTTCTAAGTTCTAAAGATAACATTTTAAGTTTAAATGAAGTATCATTGTTTTGTAAATTTACTTTTTAAATTCATGTATTCATTCTTAATCTTATCTTTAAACCTTATAAAGTAACACATAACTCTAAAACATATATATATATATACACACTAGTACTTATATTGTAGTTTAAAATTCATTTAGGTCCTTTGGAATATTAAAAATATTCAAAACCGACATATGCATAGCATGGGCGGCAGAAAGGGTAAAAAGACGTTAATACAAAGCTAAAAACTAATTTTAAAAACATACTGAAAAACAAAATTAACAGAGTCTTTTGAAAAATCAACAGACTCCGATGCAAAACCAAGGATCACCGATGCAAAACCAACAATCATTCACTGAATTGACGCTAGATGGCGTGCAATAAAACAGACATAACCTGAATTAATGCTAGATGGCATGCAAGTTTCCTACATCATCATCATTAAATGTAAACTTTCATAACAAAAATCTCTCGAAATTGTAAATCGGCATCCATTTGGCAAACCTCGGATGATAACATCATCATGATGTCGGACTCTCAAAATTCAAACATCAAAGACAGCAAGGCTTCTACAAATGGCTGTACATTTATTACAAGAAACCACAAGTAGATACTGGTATTTCCCCAAGAGAAAATTTTCATTGAATATCTCATTTTCCAATTTGAAAGAAAAATAACTTGGGGACAGGACCACCACCCCCTTTCATTTTTTAGCTCTACTGGTCAGAGACCAGAAGAGCTTATGCGATTGTAATGCGTCCGGCGTCCGTCCGTCCGTCTGTCCGTCTGTCTGTAAACAATTTTTCAAAATGCTACTCCTACAGTTTTTGGTTGATTTCAATATAACTTGGCACACAAGTAGACTATACTAAGATACATAATTCTGTATATCGGTTTTTGATTTTGATGAACGGTGTTACCGTGGTTACTAAAAATAGATATGTCTGTGAAATTCTTTCAAAATGCTACTCCTCCTACAGTTTTGGTCCGATTTCAATACTACTTGGCACACAAGAAGACTACACTAAAATACATAATTCTGTGCATTGGTTTTTGTTTTAGATGAATGGTGTTGCGGTGGTTACTAAAAATAGAAATTTCTTTGAAATTCTTTCAAAATGCTACTCCTCCTACAGTTTTGGTCTGATTTCAATTTAACTTGGCACACAAGTAGATTACACTAAGATACATAATTCTGTGTATCGGTTTTTGATTTTGGTGAACGGTGTCGCCGTTGTTACTAAAAATAGAAATTTCTATGAAATTCTTTCAAAATGCCACGTCTCCTATAGTTTTGGTCTAATTTCAATATAACTTGGCACACAAGTAGACTACACTAAGATACACAATTCTGTATATCGGATTTTGACTTCGATGAACAATATTGCCTTGGTTACTAAAAATTTCTGTTAAATACTTTCAAAATGCTACTCCAAATACAGTTTTAGTCTGATTATAATATAATGTGGCATGCAAGTAGACTACACTAAGAACATAAAGTGACTTAATCAAGGATCATTATTCTATTTATTGCTGTTGTAAAGTTTCAATTCCCAACTGCTGAAGTACTTTCCTCTTCCTTTGCTATAAGTACAAACCAGTAGAGCTTCAGTCTCGACAGAGACTTCTGGTTTCTTTTGAATCTGGGGTCGACACACCTTTTCCTTATTTTCATGATTTTGATAGTTTAATATACACTACTTGGTATCGATAATGTAACCCGTTTGTCTGTATAATCCGTTTTTTAAATATATCGTTTTCGACTGATACATTCTATTATGTATTTCGAGATTTGCCAAATGGATACTGATTGACAATTTCGCGGGATTTTCGTTCCTATGAAGGTACACATTTAACGATGACGTAGTAAAACGTGCGCGCCATCTAGCGTTAATTCAGGTAATGTCTGTTTTTTGCACGCCATCTGGCGTCAATTCAGTGAATGACTGTTGGTTTTGCATCGGAGTCTGTTGATTTTGCAAACGACTCTGTTGATTTTGTTTTTCAGTATGTTTTTAAAATTAGTTGTTAGTTTTGCATTAACGTCTTTTTTACCCTTTCCGCCGACCATACATATGATTTCAAAGATATGAATCATTTAACCAATAAGCGCCGACAATAAACACAAAAACACAGGGGAAATTACAATTCGGTAATGCTAAAAATGCTAAATAGTATCGGAATTACAAGGTGGACTTCTTTGAAACGGTGGGGTCTGATTTATTCTTTAATAAACCACTAAACCAATAAAACACTGAGAATTCAATTTTAAAAGAATAATTTAAATACAAATAGTTTAACAAGTTTTGATTGCCTGATGTCTGATATTGAAACTTCTGTATCCTTGTACTTAAACAAATTGCTTTTAAAAGCAAGGATTATTATATAAACGTAAAGAGTCAGGCATTAAATGGCAAAAAATATTATTGTATTTCTATTACTCTAATGAAAAAAAAATCAAAAAACAATTCAAGTAACAATCTTCATTAATACAAATTCAATTAGTTTTGCACCAACTTTGTGACTCACCGGGAATAATATGAAAGTGAGTATTCAAATTGATTTGCACAAAATACAATTATTCAAATATTTATATGCATGAATGTTGAGCGTTATAAATGATTTGAGACAGTATTGGCCATATATTATATAGTTATAAAATTTGCGTTCAAAATACAAAATAGATGCTTCATCATCAAGAAGAGATATAAACAACCTGATCTCAATTTAGGTTTCTTGCCTGTCTCTTTCTTCAATCCCACAGTTAACTTCTGCTTTGTCAAAAAACCGTAGTTGCCGTTTGCTCTTCTTTAATTTATCACAGACGAATTCCAGACTCGTGCACAACTTCAAACCAGGCTTTGGCTTGTTAGGAGAGTTTGACGCTTCAGCGTTTGAATCATCTGCCCTGACCTCAAAGTCACCAATAAGTATAGCGATAACTTCAATGATGTTCTGGTCTACATCAAAGTCATTCTGAAATACTAGCGACCCACTGTCTCCCTTATCACCAAATGGAATTATCACACCCTTTTGATATTGACCCTGAACTAAGTATGCACAGTTCATTTTTTCTTCGCCTAGAGTATCACGGTACTTTTTTGTCTCTACTAAGACACCTTTGGTGATATCGGTCTTAGCTCCTTTTTTGTAAACTATAGAAGGGACTGTGTCAGAAGATCTCATCATGTATATTCGAGCACTTGTTGGTATCTTTTTATGATTTACAAGAAGTTTTTGGCATTTTCCAATCACATCGTCATTAACCTCTATTAATGCAAAGTCCGCTGAATCAGAAAAATATTCATACATCAAACAACATTTCCCGATACAAATGAGTTCACTACCGTCCTTGACATGTACCGTTTTCTTGTCTTGCAAAACATGTGAGCACGTTAGAGCAACTGTACGTTTAGAGTCATCACTGAACTCTGCGAATCCACCCAGAGTACCATACCTTTCAATATTGCCCTTATCAGGATATATCTCATTACCCTGACATAGATATCTGTTTATCTTAAAACTGTCAATCTTTTCAACTGTCATTTCCCATGAAAAATTTGAAATTTTCTTTGCGTGAAGCAACTCTTTCCGAAATAGCTGAAACTGTTCTTCGGTAAGATGGCCACTAACTTGCACGTAAAACGTTCCTGGTCGGAAGCCATATGCAAATACTTTGTCTGGATTCCTATGGTAAAATACAATTCAAATATATAACAAGGGAAAACATTCTATCAATTTATTGATTGATATATTGATTAATTTATCACTTAATTTAATAATCAAGATGCATTTGTGATAGTCTGATGCTCATGTATGGCAGCTTACGGCAATGTAAAAGTTTCACAAATGAAAGTCAAATTATAGATCAAGAGATCAAGCATATATTTATGCACAAGGTTGACGAAGTCAAGATTCCAAGGTCAAACTGATGGTATCCAGAGTAAACTAAAGTCTTATCAAAAGAGATACATGTACTAATATGAAAGCCCAGTTTTCAACCGTTCAAAACGTGTGGCCAAGATTATTTTTTTTTAAATCAGGTAAAACTCAAAGGTGAAGGTTGCAATTTTTAAAACATTAAATAAAATTTGAGGTATGAAAGCCCTTGCGCCAATTATTCAAACGTTATGGCCAAGGGTTTTGCCTGGTAGATGTTTGCAAAAATGGCCAAATTCCGAGGTCAATGTCAAGGGGTTAAAGGAAAGGCCCTGCCACATGGAATACATCTATGTTTGATAGCCATTGCTCAGACCAGTCAAAAGTTAAGGGCAAAGTTACTTCGGGTCAATAGGCAGACAGACAAACTGATTGACAGGTCAAATCCTATTTGCCCCAGAGTAATTTCGGAATCTTAAAATAACACGCACGCATGAGAGAGAGACAGAGAGAGAGAGAGAGAGAGAATAACCTACAGGTATGTTTTTATAAAGTACCTGTCAAGAATTTTCTGGCATTCTTCTGTGATTGACATCGATACAACTGATGTTTTTAATTTGGTAATGGATGTAGGTAAAGAAGATGCTTTGTGTAGTCGATTTAGAATTGCCTCTGTTTCAGTTTGAATGATGCTTATGTCATCAATCTCTGACGACGGGAAGGAAGAAAGTGATTTTTGGACTAGTCTTAAATATTCAATCAACATAATCTCCAGTGTAGATGTGACATGTTTCCGTAAGGTTTGGATATCTGTGGCGGTGATTATATGGGCGTTTGCCCGACAATATGTCTGAAGGGCTTCGACTGTCCAGATCTCCCCTTCTGGTGTAAGAACAATTACGACAAATGGACCAATAGGAGCAAATTCCGACTCAGAAAATTCGTCTGTTACCTTCAATAGAAAATTAAAAATATTAAAGACATTTAACAGAGATTTTAAAAGAAAAAAAGGCTTTTATTCAGTCAATTACTCTATTATCTTGATTAGATTAATACAAATGCACGCTGTCATATTGTTAATTTGCATTAGTACCCAATACGTAAATACTGAATAACAAGATGATACCATTTTAAGCGACTCAGAGACAGTTCCTACAGTGTCTTGTTCATCGCAAAAGAAGACAAAACACGATGGGATTCTTTCTTTGAAATCTACAAATTTATACTGGGGTTTCCTCATTTCATGTTTCTTGTTGACATCTGCAAAAGAGAAAATTATATGATAATAATGAACTCTTGTGTATACGTATATATATCTAATGAACAACTATATCACTACAGAAATATCATAATCAATACCTTTTTGACGTCTCATATTTTCCTGCTTGCGTTCCTCTTTGGATATGAAAGACAGTTTTGTTTGCGTTAGATTTTTCCCAACTACATAAATAACCGGAGTAGCTTTGGTCTGACTCCAAGGAACAAAATCAATGCATTGTAATTGACTGTTTTGTGAAATCAAATGCATGAGACTTTCTTCTAGTTCTAAAATCAGTTCGCAGTGATAGTGAAAACGTGGAAAGTCCTCCCCTCTGCAGCTCACTTTTCGGAAGGCTAGTTCATAAGGAGGTTCTGATATAAAAGAGAAATGGAAATAGAAATTAAATTTAATTATTTCGTCAAGTAATCTAAAAAATAATGTATTGCATAAATTTATTAACTTACGCATGAAATTGGTGGGACTAAGTATTTCCTCTGGATGATCTTCTCTTTCTAAGAATCTTTGCAAAACTGATTTGATATGATCAGAACAGCAATCTAGACAATTTCTAATTATTTCCTTTCTTCCAGACATTTTTCGAAGCAACATTTCTAATAACAGAAGACTGTCACTCCAACAAACGTACCAGAAAAAGTCACATTTCAAAAACAAGTCCAGTTTTTTGTCTCTTGTCATCACGAAGAGAAATTCACGCAAAGTTCTTTCATTTTTCAAAACATTAAACGATTTTGTCTGTATCATTTTAACGTATTCTCCAGCTAAAGTTTCGCTAAGAGTTTGTATATGGATTTCGTTTACCGTATCAAATAAGGGAGATAACGTTTCCAGACACTCTGTGGAAGAAAATCTCACAAATACATCTGGATGCTGTTTTACAAAGAATCTGCTTGCAAGATGGAATAAAGTAGAGTTGGCAAACGAATATTCACAATCCCTGATTTTCAAAAGTGAATGTGAAAGATCTTGCAGCGTCGCCTTTGTTTTGTTGACTGATTTTTTACCAACATCTTGTCCAATCGTCTTTAAAATTTCAACCGTAGATTCCTTTTCCAAATCATTTTCTCTAAGTTTGTTGTTGTGCACTAGAGAAAGAAGAAGGGAGCAATATCGAAGTTTGCTGGTTTTCTTCAAGCTCTCAAAGTATTCATTCACAGAAGCTGTAGAGACATTAGTAATGCCTTCTTTTTGAAGCAAAGTGACCCCTGCTCCCCAAACTTCACATTGTTGTAATAGATTTAGATCACTTAGTTGTGTTTTCACAAACGATGTGAGCCCCATGGAACTGGCAATGTTTGCTTCTTCGACTGAATTTAATTCTTTGCAAGATATTTCGACCACAAATTCGTCTAAAAAACCAAATCCTTTTCTGTTTTTGCATTTATGATATATATCACTTCTTGATGTTAGTATTAATGTTACTCTTCTAACCATATCTGCCAGATTCTTCATCCTGTTACTCCAAGCTAATGTCAACTCTATATTTTCTACATATTGCCCAAATATGTTATCAAAAAACAAGACAGCCTGTGTTCCTCTTACGAAGTCTATTTCTTCAGGTTTTGTCACTTCAAGACAAGTTCTATTTTTCATTTTATTTTTTTCTTCCTCGAACAATCTTCTGGCATATGTTGTTTTTCCAGAACACGCTTCACCGATTATTATAGCAACTCTTTTTTCTTCTAATTGAGATTTGCACATTTTGTAAAGTTTTGTCTTTACAAAATATTTAATTTCTGGCTCACATGGCTCCGCCACTGAAAATAAAATTAAAAAAAACCATCATCCCACAATAAAAAAGTACGACATTCATCAATTTATTAACATGGAGTTGTATATTTAAGCTATAAAAGGCTGTCAAATAGAATTTTTATTTTGCTATACTTACTTATATCTTGCGCTCAGAAGGGTTGACTCTTATATATGTTGAAAACAGTGTACCATCTCTAAATTCAAGCCAAAAGGTCCAAGCCCTAAGTTGACCTCCATGCTGTTCATTTTGAAAAGAAAAAAGTTTTTTTAAAATGCCAAAACAGTATTTTTGCTAATATTTAGAAATAATGAACATAATTACAATGCACTTACTGCAAGTAATGCTCACTTCTTTAAACTAATCTGAGTAAAACATTATCAGTAAATCCAACTAATTATATATCATCATGGCCTACTGCACGAATACTTTTCTTTTATCTTACTGCATAAATATGGACTTTAGCCCTTTTTAACAACAATATACTTATCTGAAATACCCTCGATCTGAGAAGAGTACTGTAAATTTATATATAATGAAATGATTTGTGTACTGAAATAGATTATGTGTAAATGGGAGATTACTCACAGTGACTGTTAATTGTCAACTAAAGTGAAAGATAAGAGCATCACATTAAATATTTCCGTCCAGTATAACAGACATATTGTAACACTTACATACAGTGGATAAATAAGAAGATGGTGTTGAATGTTTAAGAGAATAACAAACTCTTTTGGAGTAACAATATATCGTTATTTATCTTAATTTAAAAAACCAACTTTTGATCCAAGAGAGTCTTTTACTATTTCATGTTATAAAAGTGACGCAATATAATTTCCTAAGCAAACACTCCTTTTATCCATGGACGGATGAGCATGGCGCTAAAATATCAATCTAAACCTTTACGTTGTACCGAGTGTACCGAGCAGTCATGGAATCTGTATATTGATAGCAGCGAAGGAGAAACGTCAGAATTACTGTTCAGCAATACTTTTGAGAAGTGGTGTAAATAAGATGTAGAATCTTCAAAAAACTCCATGAAACGTCTTGAAATTTTGAAATCACAATATTTTACAAAAAATCAATTACATCAAAACGTATGATTTTTCAAAAGTTTAATACCTACTTTTTTATGTTTATATAAATCAAACTAACTAATAAATGAAGAAAAAAAAATGCTTCTAAAAACGACCCTGAGATACTAGTATATCAATTTCAGAGGTTTGGAATACTTCCAATTTTTATAAATTGCGTAATTTTTATCTATTCAAGTGATCTAATAGGAAGTTAAAGTTACACATTAAAAATAAGAACACGTATGGTGACCTAATAACTGCCATTATTTTTCATGATGTGAGCATGTCAAGAACAATATAAACAAAACATTTTAGTTGATAACAAATCAGTCATTTTTAATTTTCGAAAGTTTAGTAAAGACTTTTTGTTTTATTTTTTGCTTAAATTATTTAAATATCCAAAATGTCTTATCGACAGAAAAGTATATCGGTCAAAAACACTCATTTACTATTTAAAAATCAGTGAATGTCATTTCTCTCCCCCCCCCCCCCAATATTGCAGTTGTGAATTATATTGATACTCTACAACAAGGGGGTGGGGTCAGACTCTGAGAAAGATAGAGGGTAAAATTTGGCTCTGGTGTGAGATTCGCCTTGTTAGGGAATTCGTACTCTAGAGTAGAATTTTGTTTGTGTGTGTTTGGGGGGGGGGGGGGGAGGTGTTACAAGAACGATCCAATGAATAAAAGTGCCATTTTATTTCTTAATGAATTATGGTATTGAAGCTCATCGTCGGAAAACCACAAACGGTCTCGCTTCTCTTACCCCTAGGTAAAAGAAACAGACTCACCGTAAGTTCTCGACGATGATCATAGCTACAATTGGTAAATATTTGATTCCCAATTAAAAATTGTCCACGGTCTTTTCGATGTCTGTGTATTAACAAACCATGAAGTATGAATGTTTTGGTGAATCAATGAATAAAAATTATGTCATCAAACTTTTGTGTCGCATTCAGTTCCAGATCTACTGCTTAACTAAATGTTTACAGAAATATTTTATCTAAACTGAAATTCTAGAGTGAAAATATATTTAGCTTGAATCTTACTTTTAGAAGTTTTATTCCAAATATATACCTGAAGACTTAAGATAAGGAAGGATTGCAAATGGCGGAGATATAACTTATAAACGCATGCGTCCACCGTTTAGATTTATCGATTTCCGTAGTTTAAAAGTTTTTTTGGAATATTTTTGTCACACACACATAAAGCCTTGAGGAAAAAGAAAAACAATTTGCAAAGCAATGCACACACTCTCATCTATTGCAAGTTTCTCTAATAGCCTTTTACAGGTGTTTTGGTAGTAATTAATATGACATCAACATACAGTATAATTCAAGCCCTAGAAATTAATTTTCAGTTCATTTTCGTTTTCAATTTAATCTATTTTTAAACTCTACATTACTTGGTTCCATAAAGAACTCAAATATGCTTAAAATCGTGACTTAGATAAACTAAATGTCAAATATTCACAATCGTTGCAAAGAGATATGAAATGAAATATAAACAATTTAAACAATATCTGAAATATTATTATTATCAAGTCTTCGATTTCATAGACAAAAACTCAGTCACTTCGAATTTTGTTGTTTTCTGCTAACAGGGGGATTTTTCTCATAATTAATTATGTATTTTATTTTTTTTAAGCTAAAAGTCATAATAATGACAACCGAAAAAATCGTCATTATCTAAGTCACGATTTTAAGCAAAAGTTTGTAATTTACAAAATATTGAAAATTTATGACAACTACATATTATTCCAGCATTAATTTACTGTGACAAATCATATCAACTTAATATGATAATGCTTACCACAAAATAGAACCAAACATGTCAAATGTATACAACTGAACAGAATTTCCAAAACGATTTTAAACACACATGTATACACAACACTTGACTGCATAATTGTGAATTTAAATGTTTGTTGAATGCAATTAGATGAATTGCAGTGTGAGGTATATCTTACAATTATTCCAGGTTGAAAGAAATGTTGATGTGCATCTATGCATGTTCTAACATAAAAGACGATCTTTGGAATTTTGCCAGATTTATATATAAAGCAGTTGTCATGTACGTTATTCTTATCGTTCATTTCGAAAAATAAGAAATGAGCAATATATACCACTGATCTGAAAAGTTTCCAATTATAAAGGTTTAATTGTGACCTGTCCACAGCATGAATAATTAATTTACAGTTTTGTATTTTTAAATCAGAGATGTTAGTCAACATTATTATACGACATATCACCTGCATATTGGGTTCATGTCTTTTATTTGAATCGATACGCAAGAGCATGTTTCTCTTACGAACAATTTCTAAAAGGAGACAAGCTATCGAGTATTAAGTTGATAGTACAAGAATATCAACTATTTCGTTTAAAGTCAACATTTTGTAAATTCTATGGTCTATACAATGATTTTCACTAAACGCAATCTATCATGAAGACGAATGATGACAAACGTTGTTTTATACAAATAAATGTTCAGCCATTATTTTTACACTTAATTGTCTATAGATTTTTTCGGTTGTCATTTTGCGGGAAGTTTCATCGTCCATGATACCAAATCCTATTTCTGATGTTTTTGTAAAGAGATAACTGTTGCTCTGCTCCAATTTTGTATTGTTTCAATGGATATTTGATGCTGATAACTGATTGTTATTTTCATATTTCATACATGTATATAAAACGTCATCGATGAATTTTAACTGAAGACTGGCCACAACAAAAGGCCTCTTTGTTTCAAGAGCAACTTTAAAAATAAATTCTGCGTCAAATTTTGTTGTTTTTGAGGTATAAAGATGCCCATAATTTGTTCTTTCGTATATGTTAGGTAACGTTACACTCCTTTGGTCCCGAAAATTTTTTTCCCCAGAAAACATGAATTCCACGAGAGAAAAGGAACTTTACAGTGATATTGTTTTTCTGCAATTTTCCATACATCGACAAAAGCATTGAGTTCCCCCTCCTTCATCCTCTCCTGGTTTCCACGGCTATGCTGTACTTCTGAATAAAATTTATGGAAATATCGAACAGTATTCAAGCTCAAAAGTCCAAAAAAAAAAAAAACACACCAAAAAACAATACAAAATAGATGCAGAGCAAACACAGACCTCAGAAACATCAGAAGTTGGATCAAGTGTCGCGGAGGAGTGAGCACCTGCCAACCACTCACACCCGAGGTGTGCTCCTTGTCATGATCGAGGAATAACGAAATCTTCCATCGTCAATTCAGTGTGTAAATAATGGACAAACAATGAGTACGGAAAACGTCAACATTGACTCAATGCCAAATTGTATTTGCTGATAATGTCATTGTATCGACCTTAGAACTTACGAAATGATGACTTTTAGGGAGACTGTTGATATTCTTGTTTCAGCAACTTGTTTATCAATAACTAATCGTTTTAAAAATTGTTTACACGTAGAGCATGCTCTTGCATATCGATTCAACCGAGAGATATAAATCCTGTATGCAGGTGGTGTAGACATATTGCTGCATAAGTAAGGGAAGTTGACAATGGAAAAGTTAAAGTCATTACGTTTTTCATAAAATCTGGTTGTTAGATTAGCATTAACGTCATTCTCAAGTAAAATATCTAAGTATGAAACAGATGTGCTAGACTCTGTGATATCTTTTATTGCAAGCTCGCTGGGATATATCATATCGATAAAGGAATGGAAATAATCATTGTCAATTGATAATACTTCCTAATACATGTATGTCTAAATTTCATGCTGAAAGCCAGACCAACTGTTTTTCTCGTATGTGTTTGGACAAATTTTGCTTCATGTGAATACACTAATAGGTCGGCTAATAACCGTTGCAACTGGTGCCCATCGGAATTCCAATAGACTGTTTGAAAACCTGGTCTCCAAAAACCACAAAGATACCTTCAATCAGAAACTCAAGCATCTTTTTAATATCAACTTCAGAGTACACTCATAATGCATTTCAGCAAAATAATTTTTTCAAATGACCATTGGCAAGGTGAATAAATTTACAAGTTCCATTTTTATTGAAAAAGCATTTGTCAATGATATCGAAAAGCCTGGACCGAATTTATCGTGAGGAATGGTTGTATATAAAGTTGAAAAGTCGTAACTTTTAATGCTGTTAATTTTGGTAAAATTTTGTGACTTAAAATTTTCCAAAAGTTCCAAGGAATTTTTAGGTATCCACATCTGATTTACACCACTTCTCAAATGTATTGTTGCACAGTACTCAATTTTCTATTTCACAACTCTTTGTAATCTCTTTATTGCATAATGCACCCATATGGGTCAAGCAAATACAATCCATCAAAACAAAAGAAAACAATGAATTATATATACAATAGACGTATAGAAATTTATTTCCTAAATGTTACACCGATGTGGTTAGTATTTTAGTGAAGAGTAAAGAAAGAGGCTTGGTAGAGCATTTACTTGAAGATACAATAACCCTGACAGCATTTCATATATTCGTATATTTGTAGCATTTCATGCATTTAAAAATATGATGCATCCATATTATGGAGAGAATACTAATATTATGTTTAACGCTGTAAATTGATACAAATGAAAGGCACAAGATACTGAATGATTACTCATAATTAGGGATGTCAACGAGTACCCGGTTAACCGGGTACTCGATCGAACGTCCGAGTATCGAGTACTAAAATCGGTACTCGGTTACTCGGATGTATATTTTTAAATATTTCTAAGCTTATTTATTAATGCATTAAAATATCGGTTTTAAACGTAAAATGTTCATTGCACTTGTACATACAGTAATGGTTCACCACAGTAATTAGGGTTTCCTGAGCCTCTAAATGACCGTTATCACCCGTGGCAGTGTTTATACAATAATTACCGTGACCAAGCACTTGCTACCTACCTAGCTCTTCTCACCTTCGGCTGTCTTCTATCCTTATGTTTAATTTGCTCTAATTATTTGTTTTCATTGAACATCGTTTAAGGTCTATTATATATATGTTTAAATAAATTAGATAATT